AGATTTAAATGGAAAATCACTTTTTGAATTTTTTACTCGTAATAAAAACGTCTTAGGCGTTTTATAGCTTTCTAAACACAGTAACCTTTTTTAAATAATAGATTGGTACTTTTTTCAACGAATTAAAGAAAGTTTTACGTACCTACCTAGATGGTTTTTTTTACGATTTTTTCTTATCACACACCTTGCAATAAATTTGATTATAATAAAATGAAATACATCAGCAAATTTTGCTTTAATATTTATTTATACTTTTTGAAACAAGTAAGATGAGGTATGTAAAAAAAATCTATATCTAAAAGTAAGTTTTTAACATCATCGGTGACAATAAATAGACATAAAAAGGGTCAAATGTCAAAAATTTCTCGTTGGGACACCCTTTATTATGACCAGTATAAAAATTATATACGATTTGATTCTATGAATTCAAATTTTCTATTTTTATATTTATGTTAGACTAAACCGTTAAACCGCCAAATTTTAGTGGTTTTCGTCAATACTAACGAGTGGTTGTTTTGGGTTTTAAACTATTGATTTATTACTGTAATAAAAAAACAGAAACTACAGAAAGGATGGAAATTATTTCTCTTAAATGTTATTTCTCTTGATTGTTAATAGAAACATTTATACGTTACGGAAAAATTTAGTTTAGACCTAAAAACCATACCTTTTTTGTGTTGCAAAAAAAATGGAATTTTTTTTTTATAGAAAAGTAATAAATAAGTTTTTAGGAAAAGAAATTTCACTGACTTAAAATCATACCCCTAATTATCTTAAACCCACCCATGTTTTTGAAATGAATTTTTGTGTTTAGTATTTTTATTTTTTCTTAAACAACTTAGGTATTTTGTAGCTTTCTAAACACAGTAACTTTTTTTAAAAATAGTCGTCGATCGGTCTTTATTTCAACAAATTATTTAAAAAGTTTTTCGTACCTGGATGGTCTTTGTTAGTTTTTTTTTATTACACACTCTGTAATAAATTTAATTATAACGAAATAAAGTACTTAAGCAAATTTTTGCTTTAATTTTATTTATACTTTTAAAAACATCAGAATTCAATCATTAGCATAAAAATTATTTAAATGACGACTGTATTTCCATTTTTTGCGGACCATTCCTGAATTTTGCTCTTGCACTCTTCACTCAATGGATTATGACTTAAATAAGTAACTGTTTTGGCTTTGAAAACTTTATGTAAATCTCCTTCAGGACACACAATCTTGTTACTTATAAGATGGAGTCTCTGGATGGATTCAACATCCGCAAGGTAATTCTCATGCCAGGCTTCAATTTCGTTACTGCTGAGATTCAAAATATCAACTCGTTTCCACCCTTTGAAAGTTTCGGCCGAAATTTTCTTTATTTTGTTAGCATCTAATCTAACCCACTGTTCCTTTTTGTTGTAAATATTTTTGAAGGCTTGATCTGGAAGTTGCTCGAGGAAATTATTCGAAAGAAATAGTCGCTGGATGTTTGGACAGTTGTGAAACCACCTCTTATCATATTTTTGCAATTTATTTGTAGATAAAAATACATTTGTCAAGTTGGGCATGTTATCGAATGCATTTGGTGCAATGTAGGAAATGTCGTTAATGGATAGTTCCACATGTTGCACAGTTTTGTTGTTGAAAATGCCTGAAGGAATTTCTTTCAGGTGATTTCGGATCACGTAAATTCCCTCTAACTTTGGCATCCGTTTCATGAAATTTTCTGGAATTGTTTTCAGTAAATTGCCAGATAAATACAAGTGGAGTATTGAAGAACTGTCGAAAATTTCTTCCTTAATTGTGGTGAATTTGTTATCGTCTAATGAAACATGTGTGAGTTGGGGTAGATTTTTGAAAATTCCGGGAGGGAGGTCTGACAGTAAATTTTGGGATAAATCCAATTCTTTTAAGTTTGGAAGATGGTCAAAAGCACTTTTTTCCACAGTTTTGATTTTATTGTTGGAAAAACTTAGTCCATTCAGACGGGAGTTTTTCACAACTCCTGGTGGGATTACCGACATTTGGTTGGAATCTATGTTGAGTCGCTCTAGAGTGAGATTATCAAAAACCCCAGCAATGGTTGTGATGTTGCCTCCGATAAAGCTTAAAGCTTTAACATTTTTGAAATTTTTGAATGCACCTGGACGTATTTCAACGATTTTATTTCGGTGGAATTGAAGTTCTTCTACATTTTCAATGTCTGTGATGGAATCTTCGAATAAAATTGGTATTGTCCCAGTCACTACAAGTACCGATGTTGAGTTTTTAGGTAAATGGTTCTTGAGATTCTTTGCAGAAGTGATGGATGCGAGTTTTTCCCCAGATATAGTCCAAATATTAACATTTTTGAATGACACTTCACTGGAAATTACACTGGAAATAGTCGCCAAAAGCAGCAAAAATAGATGTCTTGGATACATTTTACTACCACTGAACTGTTTTCATTCAATTCTGGTGAAATAATGAGCGTTAACGGAGTTATTTTGATTATAAAATTTACCACTTTGATTTTTTTATCTTTTGTAAGCACATTCTTTAATTGGTCATTAATTAGTGTTTCCTGAAATTGCTTTGTGCTAATAAGAAATATTACTTGTTACTCATGAGAAATATTTTTGATAATATTTACTTAGAGTCACCAAATAATATGGATTCTTGTTTAAACTATTCAGCAAAGTAATAAATTGGTCTAAGTGCTAGAAAAATGTAATTTTTGTAAATTATTTTCTTTGTGAGAGTTGTTTTTCATATAAGTTGAATTCTCTTTGAATTCGTAAATCATAGTCTTTGTCGAAAAATTTTTTATAAAAGATTCAAAAAGTTTTGAACTTTTGTTTTTGAACATTTTTTTCACTTTGCATATTTTTTACAGATTTAAATAACTTAAATCGTTGATGGTTATCTACAACTAATTTCTGTATTTTTTTGGAAGTTGGGTCTCAAGTGATAACTCACTTATTTTGTGTTATTTTTATTTTGCCCAACTTTTATGATATATACAGGGTGCTGCATTTTGGACGTCCGAATAGGGAATCTCCGAAACTAAGAGGTTTAGTCAAAAACAAGTGATACATTCTGGGACTCATTTTTTGAGAAAATATTATTGGTTAAAACCGCATCCCGCTATCATCTTTTGTTTTCGACTTACAGACAAAAGTTGACATTTTGGCGAAATCTAAAAAAATTCATATTTTCGTTATTATAGAAGATACGGATTTGAAGTAAAGACATTATGGAGGCACTTTTTTACGTAGAATTTAATAATGTAGTTAATATTTTTTTTCAGTTATTTGTTTATCCGTAATAAGATAAACTTGTATCTTTTAAATGGAAATCATAGGCGGGATGGCAATTTTGAAAAGCTTATTTTTTTGTGATATAAAAAATATATATTTGTAACAGAATATTTTTTTATAATTATACTTAAAAAATTAAATACATATTTTGTTTGATAATAGGTGGCCACGGAAAAACTATTTTACTCCAAATGTGTAAATAATTATCAATAAGAATTTTGGGAACTGTGAAATAGATGAAAAAATATATAAAAAAACGATATATTTTTTTCATTACTTAGTACTTAGAAAACTCTTTCACTGGTTGAATAATACAGTATGATGAAAAAAAAGGCGCCCGTGTTAACCCACACGTTATAAGTGATCTTTTATTAAAGACGAATTCGAAGACCAAAATTGGATTTGTGCTCTTATCAGTAAGATATAGACTTTCCTTTTTAGAAAAGAGAAATCTAAATAATTAACAGTTTTAAAATAATTTCATTGTTAAAGTCTAGATTTTGATACAGTTGACGGTGTTCTTAAAAAAAAATGTGCAAAAAGCCTATTGAAATAAACTTTATTGTACATGTTAGGATACTACTTCTTGGCTCCAAAGAAAATGTATCAATGTTGCAACATTGCAAATATCCTAGGATACATTAAATGTCCAAGTAATATTCAATTATTGAAAACGGTAGCATCAAAAAATTAATTTTCAATATTGTTTGTTCTGTGAAATTTGAACGATTAAAGTCAAAAAGTCAAAGATTAAAATTAATTGAAATCATTAAATACCTTTTGGTCGTATCGTATTGGAATAATAAAATTATGTAAACTTTACAGTTTTTTATTTTATGCGGGTGACAATATCTGTCAGTATACTGGTTTCTTAGATACGTAAAATACCTGAGTGAAATAGTTTTTTACTAAAAGAAAATTGTGCAATATTGCCGCTTTGTGCTGTTAGACAAACTGTTTGAATTTTAAAAAGAATCTATTTAGACTATTTTTGGAATGATGGTCACAATGTTTCAATAAAAAAGGACGCGCCTGTTTCAATCGTGGGCGCCTTTTTTTCATCACCCTGTATAGTTTAAATCCTTTTAGTTGAAGATGCAACATTTTTCATGGCCAACTGCAAACAAAAATAAAAGATAATTTTTTGCTAAAAATGTATTATAATAATCTGTTAAAAATATATATTTTTTAGATAAGAAAAAAACAAACTTTTTAAACATTTATGAATCCCATTTAAGAAAATACAAGTTTATCTTATTACCGCTAAACAAACAATTGAAAAAAAAAATATCTACATTATTAAATTCTACGTAAAAAAGTGCCTCCATAATGTCTTTATTTCAAATCTGTATCTTCTATAATAATAAAGATATGATTTTTTTTAGATTTCGGTAAAATATCAATTTTCTCTATAAGTCGAAAACAAAAGACGGGGATGTGGTTTTAACCAATATTATTTTCTCAAAAAATGAGCTTCAGAATGTATTACTAGTTTTTGGCTAAACTGCAGAGCAATGAATAAATATTTTGTCATCATTTAAATGAACTGCTAATCTTGTTAATATGGAAGATAATGAAATTAAAATAAGAAATAATTGTTTATGTCGGACTGGCTAACATATTTTTACAAATAACATTTTTGTACAGTTTTTTTTTTCAAATTGTAGAGTGCAGATTTCTATGTTGTGAATAAGGTTGATTATAATACAATAAAGTACCCTAGCAGATAACTTTTGCTTTAATATTTATCTACAAACATTAGAATTCAATAAAAATATTTAAACAACGACTTTGTGTGGATTTCTTGCGGACCATTCTCGAATTTTTCTTTTACAGTCATTACTGAATGGATTATTACCTAAATAAGTGCACCTTTTGGCTTTAAAAACTTTGTCGAAATCACCGTCGAGACACACAATCTTGTTATTTACAAGATTGAGAGTCCTGATAATTTCAACATCCGCAAGGTAATCCTCATGCCAGACTTTAATTTCGTTAGAATTGAGTTCCAAAGTATCAACTCGTTTCCACCCTTTGAATGTTTCAGCCGAAATTTTCTTTATTTTGTTACTATCTAATTTAACCCATTGTTCTTTTTTGTTGTTCAAATTTTTGAAAGCTTGATCTGGAAGCTGCTCTAGGAGATTATTGGAAAGAAATAATCGATAGATTTTTGGACAGTTGTGCAACCACCTAGAGTCATACTGTTGCAATTTATTTCTAGGTAAAAATAAATCTGTCAAGTTGGGCATGTTGTCGAATGCATTTGGTGCAATGTAGGAAATTTCGTTGTTGGATAGATCCACATGTTGTACAGTTTGGTTGTTGAAAATGCCAGCAGGAATCTCTGTTAAATGGTTTCGGTTCAGGTAAATCCCGATTAAATTTGGCATCTGTTTCATGAAATTTTCTGAAAGAGTTTTCAGTAAGTTGTCAGCTAAATACAAGTTAAGTATCGAAGAATTGTCGAAAATTTCTCCCTTGATTGTGGTGAATTTGTTATTGTCCAATGAGATATATGTAATGTGAGATAAATTTCTGAAAATACCAGAGGGAAGATCTGAGAGTAAATTATGAGATAAATCCAATGTTTTTAAATTTGGAAGGTGGTCAAAAGCATTTTCTTCTACAGTTTCGATTATATTATTGGCAAAACTCAATTCTTTCAGATCGGAACTTTTCACAACTCCAGATGGGATGACCGAGATTTTGTTGGAACCTATACTAAGTTGTTCTAAAGTGAGATTATCAAAAACCCCAGCAATGGTGGTGATGTTGCTTCCAGTTATTCTTATTGTTTCAACACTTTTTAAATTTTTGAATGCTCCTGGACGTATTTCAATGATTTCATTTCCGATGAATTGAAGATCGTTCACATTTTCAATGTCTGTGACGGAATTCTCGTATAAAATTGGTATTGTCCCAGTTACAAGAATCATCGAGGTCCACTTTCTAGGTAAATAGTCCTTGAGATTGTTTGCAGAAGGGATGGTTGTGAGGTTTTTGCCCCAAATCCAAAGAGTAACATTTTTGAATGACACATTATTGGAAATTACACTCGAAATAGTCACCAAAACCAAGAAAAGTAAATATTTTGAAAACATTTTACCACCACTAAACTCTGCTTTCATATAAGTCTGGTAATTTCAGAGAGTTAAAGCAGATAAAATGTTACATTAATTGGGTTTATCTTTACCATATCATTAAAGACTCGTGCAACTTTTTTTTTGTAATTTGTTTACTTATGATTATGAAGACTATTTTTGATAACATTTACATACAGGGTCAGTAAAAAGTATGCAGGTTTTTTGGTTAAATTATATGCTTTCAGAAAATTGATAATAGGTATAAACTGCTCTAAAAATGTGATCGTTTTCGACAATGAAACTTGGATTGTTTATGATAATTCTTTTTAATATGAGTTGAATTCTCTCAAAAATCATAGTTTTTGTCGAAAAAAAATATCATAGTAGTAAAGGAAGTTGACAAGGTGAACTTTTTGTTCCCTGTATACGTTTTACCCATTTAATTAATCTAAATGATTGATGTTTGTTTACAATTGATTTCTGTATATTTTTGGAAATTGTGTCTCAAGTGTTGAATAAATAAATTACAAGATACGTCACAAAATCCATACTTATGTTTGTTATTAATTCGAATATTTAGAAGCTGTACAAAAGTCGTTTCTTATTTTTTTCCTTAATATTTTTATTGGTGGATTAGAATTTTAAAAAAATTGTTTTTCCAAATTGCACTAGATAAATTGTGTATGTTGTTATACCAGCTATCATCTAAAATAAACAAGTAATTTTTCATTTTGTTTGTGAAGATTTTTACCGTGCAAGTAAAAGTATTATTTAGAGAAAAGAAACCACAAACATTAAAACAGAAACAATTCTGTTTTAGTCTTAATCGAAGCAGTTCTTTCTGAAATGATTTATTTTAATTCTGTAATAAATCTAACTCTTAGTTATTACTCTCTTATAAAAGGAAAGAAATTTACTAAGAGAGTGTGACGATGGTAAATCGTCAATAACTTCCATCATTGTATTTCTCTAAAAGATTAAAACAAATTAATTATAAATTTTTTTGTGCTTACCTTTTCTGTGATTTGGTCGAAAAAATACGCCATGGTAAAAACTGGGAATAAGGTGTTTACTAACCAAGCAACTATTTGCACTACGAAATAAAATGGTAATTCAGGAAAAATATACAATGTAACTGATGCGTAAAATAGTGTAGTCGCTGTGAAAACAAAGTCGACGAATATTCTTAAAAGAATAGGTTGTTGGAACGTTTTGTTAATATCGTTAGATATTTCATTAAACTTTGTAAATATTTGAATAACAGTTTTTGAATCTTTGTAAATAATGTTTCTACTCGTTATTGCATTAAAATATGACTTATAATTATTTTGCAAAACTATCAGATAAAAAAATATAAATAGATTTAAATTGTAACTAAAAAATATCGCAAGGGTTTGGAAGAAAATCTTTAGGTAAAAACTAATTGAAGGTGAGAATAATAAAGAGATTCCTAAAAATTGACCTGTCACTATAGTCACCTGCACACTCATATACCAAAACAACGGTTTTGAAATACTATTTCGAAAGAGATTATTATTTGTCGAGAGTCGAGATACCATTTTAGTTAGCACTATCAAATCGTTTAGGATTATTTCAATTTTTCTTTTTTTCAAATATGAATAAATAATCAAACCAACGTCTAATGAATACAACGAAGTTATTTGCAGAACAATTAGATAAAATGTCAAGTCGTTTGACACTTCTAAGGATTGGATAAATAATGTTATATTTGTTATTAGAATCAATATTAAAATAAAAATGTGTAATTTTGAGGCCTTGTATTCAAATTTTCCATTTTCAAATCTAAATTGTGGTAAACCACTGAAACTCCATATTTTACAAATTAGTATGGCAGTTTCGGTTATGTTCATATTCTCAACTTTGATGTTGTTATGTAAACTGTCGAACAATGAATAAGAACAATTGTTTTGTGTGTTTTCTCATCAATTAAATTTGTGCTGTGCTGGTAATTATCTTAATGCGACGGTTATGAAAAAATTGGGAGATAATGTAATTAGAATAACAAGCCATAAATAATAATAAACAAGGTAAGGTTTTTTAATCGTTATTTGTGAACACTTCTTTGGTCTTCCTAATTAATTTTTGCAGCCGGAAATTTTGAAAAGTTTTAGCGGTTTTTCAAATATTTGGAGTTTTTCAAAAAATTTTGGACCTGCACCTTCCACTTTAAAAATCGGTAGTCTTAACAAAAAGTCACCATAACATTAAATTTAGGTATAGGGAATGTTAGTACAGATCGATGCAGAATTAAATTCTCTTCCATTTGGTAAAATAAAAATTGGGGTATTTTATTTGGAAAAATTGGGTTATGGGTATTTGAATTATTACAAAAGTAACCTTAAAATTTTAGGGTTTTTAATTTTTTTGTCAAAAATTGAAAAGTCTTAGAAGAAAGATCTAAGCTTTCTCTATCAAACGCAAAAAAACGAATCCAAAATTTTAAAGAATGGCAGAGTTACCGATTTTTTAATTGGAAGCTGCAGATCCAAAAATATTTCAAAAACGGCTAAATTTAGGTATAGGGAAAGCTAATGGAAACTTCTTTAAAATAACTCGATTAATAAAAAAACGCAATAAAAATATAGCTTTTCATTTAAAATAAGAAAGTTGAGACCGAATTCCGGTATAACCGGAAGTGCCGCCATCTTGAAAATATTTTCATTTAGGAGGACTTAATGGATTATGGCTATGTACCAATTTTTAAATAAATACGATTATTTGAACTCCTAATACTTCTAATGTGGGGTTTAGACGGAATACCCTGTATACTCTTTGTAGTTGAGGCATCTGAAAAAGGATCCTTTTGTCTTTGATCATCACAGAGAATATAAGGGTAGTGTCAAAAACTGGAATAAATGTCTTATAAGATCCTTTTATGATTTATTGAAAAATATTTTTTTTTACCCTCAACATTGATTTAACGAGAAAAAAGTAACTTTTTGCATTGTTTTAGTAAATCTACTGTGTATTTACTAATATTGATAGGACACAATTGTTTTTAGGTGTTTTTACAGTGTAATGTACCCCTGATAGCCCTGTAAATTTTTAAATCTATCCTTCACACCCTTTTCTCGGACCGATTTATCAAAATTTTACAAAAGAATTAAAGGAACAATTGCACATATTGTTCCTGAATATTGTCTTACTTTGTCAGAATAAGAAAAACAATTTTTTTCACTTTTTTTACAATTTTGCATGAGTTATTAGTTAAATTGAAAAAAAAAAATGATTCAAAATTTCAAAAAATAATTTTTGATTTTTGTTTTCGAAAATTAAACAGCATTATTTCTTGAATTTTTTTTCCAAATTTAGAAAAATCAAAAACATGTTTTAAAAAATTAAGCACTATTTATTTAGATTTTTTTTACGAAATTAAAAAAAAATCAAAATTTTTATTTTTTTAATTTTAGCAAATAACTGATGCAAAATTGTAAAGAAACTCGAAAAAAAAAAGATTACACAATAGAAACAATATCTGCAATTGTTCCTTTAATTTTTTGCAAAACTTTGCCCTATTGACCCGAGAAAACGGTTCCATGGATCGATTTAAAAATCTACAGGGCTATGGGGGGTACATTAAGCCGAAAAAACACCTAAAAACATTTGTCTCCCCACTAATTATAGTGAATGTAGATTTACTAAAACAATGCAAACAGTTTTTTTCTCTTTTCTTTAAATCAATGTTGAGGGTGAAAAAAATATTTTTCAAAAAATCATAAAAGGAACTTATAATTATTCCAGTTTTTGACACTACTCTTATATTCCCTATGATCATTGATTGCTGAGATTCGATGATCAAATACAAAAGGTTTCTTTTTCATTTAAAGTCAGATAAATTAACGTAATTAGAATACGCAATATTAACATATTAACGCGTATTAACGGTAAACAAACATGCTATCCGGTCTATGTATTGACTTAACTAAAAAAAATCCCTAAATCCGTGGACCAAAACCAACGCAATGAGATACAGCCTTTCAAATAACACCAAAAAATGTACGAAATATTTTTGTTCCTTTAATTTTTTGGAGTGGTATATTAAACCCAAAGTGACCCGAACAGGCCCGAAACAAGCTGAAATATCGCGAAGTTATCCGAAGCGACATTATTACATTATTGAACTCTCTAAAAGGCATTTGTTTTTATTAAAAAAGATACGCTTATACAAATCCCATGCTTATTTTGTAACAAAAATTCGTGTTTCCTGTAAAAAACTGCGAATTGCAAGGTTTAAAATTTTATTTTGTGGCTATACCTACAGGTTGTCTGCCATTCAAATACATTGAGAATTTTTTTAAGTACACTTTATTTTTTTTACTTTTAATCTTTTCTTTATTTAATTTTTTCTTTTTTTGTGACAGGCAAGCCCCACGAAATCATCAACACCTACACCGAAGCCGTTCAGACCGTGGACCCCAAACTCGCCGTCGGCAAACTGCACACCTTGTGGGTCGAATTCGCGAAATTCTACGAAACCAACAAGCAAATCGAAGACGCTCGTCTCATTTTTGAAAAAGCCACTCAAGTGGCATATGTGAAAGTGGACGATTTAGCGACGGTTTGGTGCGAATGGGCCGAAATGGAGATACGAAGCGAAAACTACGAACAAGCCCTTAAACTCATGCACAGAGCGAGTACCATGCCATCGCGCAAAGTGGCCTATCATGACGACACTGAAACCGTTCAAGCAAGACTGTACAAATCGTTGAAAATCTGGTCAATGTTGGCCGACTTGGAGGAGAGTTTTGGCACATTTAAGTCGTGTAAAGCGGTCTACGATCGGATTATTGATCTGAAAATTGCAACACCGCAAATTATCATCAATTATGGCCTGTTTTTGGAGGAGAATAAGTACTTTGAGGAGGCTTTCAGGGCGTACGAGAAGGGGATTTCCTTGTTCAAGTGGCCGAACGTTTACGACATTTGGAATACTTATTTGAGTAAGTTTTTGAAGAGATATGGGGGGAGTAAGTTGGAGAGGGCGCGTGATTTGTTTGAACAATGTTTGGAGAATTGTCCTCCTCAATTTGCCAAACCTCTTTATCTCCTCTATGCGAAGTTGGAGGAGGAGCACGGAATGGCCCGACATGCCATGGCGGTGTACGAAAGGGCCACAAACGCCGTCCCTCAAGAGGAGATGTTTGAAATTTTCAATATTTACATAAAACGGGCCGCCGAAATCTATGGAATACCCAAAACCCGGCAAATTTACGAAAAAGCCATTGAGGTGCTTCCTGAAGAGAAAACACGCGAGATGTGTGTCCGGTTTGCCGATATGGAGACGAAATTGGGCGAAATTGACCGAGCTCGAGCCATATACTCGCACTGTAGTCAAATCTGCGACCCAAGGGTCACTACCGAGTTCTGGCAGATTTGGAAAGAGTTTGAGGTGAGACACGGGAATGAGGATACTATGAGAGAGATGTTGAGGATCAAGAGGAGTATCCAAGCCATGTACAACACTCAGATAAATATGATGTCGGCGCAGATGTTGAGTTCGGCGGGCTCGGTGGCGGGGACTGTGGCCGATTTGGCGCCGGGGGTCAAGGATGGGATGCGGCTGCTTGAGGCCAAGGCGGCCGAGATGGCAGGGACGTCGACGGGAGTTCGGCCTGGGAATATTATGTTTGTTAGAGGCGAAACTCAAGGGGATAATAAAGATAAGGTTGTTAATCCGGATGAGATTGATATTGGGGAGGATGAGGAGGAGAATGAGGACGAAGGGGAGGATGTGCCGGTTGAGAAGCAGAACATTCCGTCGGAGGTGTTTGGAGGGTTGAAGAAGAGGGATGAGAATGGGGAAGAGGATGAGGGATGAGGGGGTTAATCTAGTATTGATGTATATTTAAGGAAAATAAAACCTTTTAGTATCATTCTTTAGTTTTTTTAAAGGATTTGATTAAAGAACCATTTTCAAATTGTTGCACTTTAAAATAAAAAAATACAAGAAAAAATTTGAAATCTTAACTGTTTTTTTCTGATTTTAACCAATGGAAAAATATACAGAAGGAATAGGATTTAAACATTATTCCTCTGTAAAAAAGTAAAAATACGAGGTCATTGAAGCCCGTGAAAAATTTTGGAAAACGATAATAACAAAATCAAGAAAGAAAAAGAAATGTAAAGCAATATTAAAAAAAGAAATACGAGTAAAAATTTTTGATATTTAGAGCAATAATAAACTTTGAAAGACCGAGTTATCGGCTTTTTCCTTTTTAAGAAGATTTTAATCTACATTGTACGTGAACGTTTAATTTTTTTTATGTAAGTTGTCTACGAGCTAAGTCATGTTGATGATGTTTTCAGATGTAGACATTAGATTTTTATTGATTCATGTGATAATTATCACATATACGTCAGATTTTGAGTAATCAGTCTTATGATCTCAGATAAGTAAAGACTGTAGGAATTAAGAATTTTTTGGTCAAGGCCAGATAGTAGTTTGACTTTTTAGGACTTGTTCTATAAATGCTTAGTCTTTATTATATCAAGAAAACGTATTCATAGTGGATATCGGATACAATATTTATAATTTTTTAAATTGATTATTCAAAATCTTCATCACTAGGCTTGCACCAAGCCATATTTACTTAAATTTTGTTTTTTATTTAACACTTGAAAGTAACTATGGACGAAGCAAATTAAAGTTATAACAGACAATAACTGCTTATAATGTTATTCTCTATAATGCCTTTTATGTTTTTGTGAAAAGTTAAGAAAACACTAGAGATTATTCTTATTTAGAAACACTTGAACTGTGAGCTGCTTATAAAATTGTTAATCCTCTCCTTCCTCTCTAACTAGGATGAGATAAAAATAAAATAAAAAGTAGAATTTAATTTTACATCAAAAGAAGGAGTTTTCTTTCGAATGCAATTTTTGGTTGATAACTGATAAGAAATGCCGTTGACAAATACATAAAAAATCAAATATTTTTGTTATTTATTTAAACAAAAGTAGCAAACTTAAAAAAACAAGATATCACATTTTTCGAATACAGAATTGGCGAAAATTCAGGAACACGCAAAATAATGTGGGGGTTGATCTATAAACAATTGCTTAAAAACGGTTCTTTAGGTATCAGACATAAATGGCGCCATTATTTTTAGGTGTTCTAACTATTCCTGAACCACTTTGTCTAAATCAAAATAAAAAAAGGCGTAGAAGTGAGAAAAGTATTTATAACATACATTTTTTTACGGGTTTGCCTTTTTAATTTACAAAAGTGCGTTTTTTTATTTTTTTAAGTATTGTCGATTTTCATGCTTCACGAACATAAATCAAATCATAATTTAGAATAATCTAAACTGATTGAAAATTATTTTTTTTTTAAGAAACTTTAAATAGATACTTTAAACGGTATTTAATTAAAGATAATTGATTCTGCTGTATTTTTTATTTTTACCAGTAGTAATAACTAATAATCTACACTAAACACTTGTTTTAATCCACGTTTAATCTACTAATCCACGTGTGGATAAATAATACTCTTTTATGATTTATAATTGACATCCTAATATTAAAAACATCAACTTTATAACTAGGTAGTTGCTTATGTAAGTATCAATAAGGGAATAAACAACTATTTAAATAAATCGGTATTTCATTTATTTTATTTCCGAGGGAATAAGTAACAGATTATTATTAGTCAAAAACGGAGGAATAAAACGTCATTTTATTTCCTGATGGGAGGAAAATAAATAAACAAGTCACAAGTAAAAGTTTCACTTTTCAGGCACGAAGTAAAATTCTGTTTTTTGATGAGCGTTTTTAATTTTACCATGATATTATTGACATATACAAAAGTTTTTTTTTCTTGTTTTTTTTTGCTGCTTCAGTTTTTGAAAAGATACATTGTAGATCATCAGTAATCGACATTTTGCACTACTAACTGCACTAGTTAAATTAATAAACGCTTTCAAAAATCTCAACACAAATTTTGACACTGTCCCGTGATGTTCGTAATAAGTGTTGATATGATTTCAGTACTTGCAAAGCGTCCTGATTATTTTGTTTATTTACTTGCTAATTATAATTCTGCTCTTTACTCTCAATTTGAATACGTTTGCGGATAAAATAGTACTATATGTTTTTCGGAGTACCTCAGCTGAATTATTTGCCTCACTACGTTCGGCAACAAAAACCATCAATTTTACTCCTAATAACATAATGTACTATTAACAGTGATTAGAAATTTGAAAAAAAACAACGAAAGCGTTCGTAATTGATTGATTTTTATTCAACTCGATGATAATTATAAAAGTCAAGTGGCAAGTGTCCAAAAATCTTATACAATATTATTATTTTGCGGGAAGTAACCACTTAAAATATTGAAACAAACTAAATTACTAAATAAAAACAGATAACAGTTTGACGATAAGATAAATAAATTTGAATTTGTGATCTCCTATAAAACAGTCATTTCTGAATTAAGTCGTCCTAGTTCGACGCTGGTTAGGAAGGGTTAACAGACTCCCCAAACAAGATGAAATTTTTCGCTGTCCTACTTTTCTGCGTTGCCTCCATTTGGGCTAAGGTAACACTTGGAATAAAACTTGCAAATAATCACAATTTTAATTTTAGCAAATTCCTGCTATGATGAAAAAAAGCACAGGTAAAAAATGATTTTAATTAATAGACATTTAGATTTTTTTTTTTTTGAAGGAGTGCGTATTATTGGTGGAAATACCGCCAATGCCGGCCAATTTCCATTCATGGCGGCTATTAATGTCCAAACAGGAACTAGCACATTTTTCTGTGGTGGAGCTTTGATCAGCAATGAGTGGATTTTAACATCTGCTCATTGTGTTTATAAGTAGGACTATTGATTTCTTTGATTTTTTCAAAATAAAATCAATCATAATTTTAGTGCTATCACTCTCACTATTCGTTTGGGGTCCATCAAGCTAACCGGAAGTGATCCAAATCGCGTAACTCTAGCCACTTCCCACGTGGTTCCACACCCTGATTTCGACCCCACCACTTCCAAAAACGACATCGGACTTATCAAACTTCGATTACCAGTTGAACTCACCGACTATATCCAACCCATCGCTTTACCATCTGGTAAATTGGCCAATTCTGCCAACCCCACGGCTCTTGGATGGGGACAGACCACCGATGGTACGGTTCCTTACTGTAGTCTGAAAAAATATCACAATTTTGCAATTTCAGAGGACTCTGAATTGGCTCCTGAACTTCAGTATGTTGGCTTGGCTGTTATTTCAAACGAGGAATGCAAATTGACTTTCGGAAGTCAAATCACCGAGGAAATGGTTTGTGTTGATGGCAATTATAATCAGGGAACATGTCTTGTAAGTAAAATTTTTATTTGGGAACTTGTACCTACAGAAATTTAATTTTTTTAAGGGGGACACCGGTAGTCCTTTGGTCGTGCGCTTGATTGGTGGAACGTATTTGCAACATCATGGAGTTGCTAGCTTCTACAGCGGAAACGGATGTGAAAGTACGGATCCTTCAGGATTCACGAGAACTTACGCTTACTTAGATTGGATCAAGAATGTAACACAGATTTAGATAATTTTTTTAACAATAAAAAATTAAGATATGTTTTGCAATTTTTTATTTCACAGTTAAAAAAAACTATTTACCATTCCAGATTTTTTATTTATAAATTCAACAACATATCTTACCCTTTATATGGTTGTTACGTGGTGGTATCGGGCGACTTTGAACTATACTGAATAAAAAATAAATCGTTATTTAAAAATTTTGAAAAAACTATCATAACTTTTTTATGGTCTTAGCAGCCATATATATTAATTTGAAATTTTTTATCCATGTTGTTTAAAAATAAATTTAAAAAAACCTCTACTTTTGGCCATTTTATTTTTTTATAACAAAACTGTACGGAACAATTTTTTGATTTATTTTTGGTGTATTGTAGATTACCTACTTATGTTACTGTATTTTTTCATGCAATTTAAATAATGCGTTTTTTTATAAAAAAATAAAAACTATTGAATTTTGCAATTTTTAATACAGGAGCAACATCCAATTGTAAAAAAACAATTTGTTTACTGTATTTCTTAAAAATTCAATTTTTCTTTTTTCATTTGAAAACTTGTTTGTACATGGTCCTGCATTTTGGATGTCCGAATAGGGAATCTCCGAAACTAAGAGGTTTAGCCAAAAACGAGTGATACATTCTGGTTCTCATTTTTTGAGAAAATAATATTGGTTAAAACCGCATCCCGTTATCGTCTTTTGTTTTCGACTTATAGACAAAAATTGACATTTTAGCGAAATCTAAAAAAAAATTATATCTTCGTTATTATAGAAGATACGGATTTGATATAAAGACATTATAGAGGCACTTTTTTACGTAGAATTTAATAATGTAGTTAACAATTTTTTTCAGTTGTTTGTTTAGCCGTAATAAAATAAACTTGTATTTTTTTAAATGGGAATCATAGATGGCTGTCATTTTTAAAAAGCTTGTTTTTTTCTTATCTAAAAAATATATATTTGTAACAAATTATTATAATATATTTTTATCAAAAAATTATCTTTGATTTTTGTTCGCAGTTGGCCATGAAAAAATGTTGCATCTTCAACTAAAAGGATTTAAACTATATTATATTCAACCAGTGTCACTAATGAAATAGTTTTCTAAGTACTAAGTAATGGAAAAGATGCAAAATAAATTGTAAATCAACTTATTGGCGACTAATAACATTTCTTTGTTTTTAAACAAGCTAACATTATTATTGCAACTTCTAGTGATACATAGAGTGTTGTAAAAAAAAAGCCGCTTTAATTCTTTAATAAAATATATTTTATATGACACAAAAATGACGATATTTCTATTCAAATACCCAAATTCCATCTATGTGAAACGTTATCCTACCTCCATTAGATCACCAAAAAAATGTTTTTTCTAATTGTGTTGACTGTTGACACATTTGTTTTTCCTATTTTTGGATTTTTTAAAAATATGTAATAATTTTGTTCTGAGGCGCTGGAATATTTGTTCAATGCTTCTACCGTATCGTATTTTTTAAATCTTTATAATTTTATATATTTTTTCATCTATTTTACAGTTCACAAAACTCTTATTGATTATTATTTACACATTTGGAGTGAAATAGTTTTTCCATGGCCAACTATTATCATACAAAATATGTATTTCACTTTTTAAGTATAGTTATAAAAAAATATTTTGTTACAAATATATATTTTTTAGATCAGAAAAAAATAAGCTTTTCAAAATTGCCATAGCCGACTATGATTTCCATTTAAAAAAATAAAAGTTTATCTTATTACGGCTAAACTAATAACTGAAAAAAATTGTTAACTACATTATTAAATTCCTCGTAAAAAAGTGCCTGTATAATGTCTTTATTTGAAATCCGTATCTTCTATAATAACGAAGATATAATTTTTTTTAGATTTCGCCAAAATGTCAACTTTTGTCTGTAAGTCGAAAACAAAACACGATAGCGGGATACGGTTTTAACCAATATTATTTTCTCAAAAAATGAGCCCCAGAATGTATCACTCGTTTTTGGCTGAACCTCTTAGTTTCGGAGATTCCCTATTCGGACATCCAAAATGCAGCACCCTGTACACAAGCGACAAATTTTTCTGGTGGTACATTTTGGAACTGGCTAGAGACATGCCATCTACAAAACAATAGAGTAAATAGTTTGAAAACTGTAATTTTATAATTTTCTGTAAAAAGACTAAAAATTGCAAAAATTTCAAATAAAAGGAATAATAATTTTTCATAAATTATGTAATATATTTTTTGTTTGTTCCGATTCCTTTTATTATAACTATCATTGTGGCGTCACCATCTATTTATCTTTCTGTTTTTTGTCATCGAAATTAAAAGAAACAAAGCAAAATTAATTATTTGAACATTGACAAAGATGATAATACCAAGAATTAGTTTTTTCAATTTAGTTTCGCACCTTCTGATCTATAAGTTAAATATTAGTGTAAATGTATGTGACAAAATGGATTTACATTTGCATAAGATAAGATGCATGCTATCAATATTTTGAATCGGGAAAAATCAATTTTGTTAAAAATTCAAATATAATTTTATAAATTCGTAACTAGATTACTTTGTTCTAAAAAAGAACTGCTCCTAAAATATAATTTATAATGGAAATAAATAAAAGTGTAAGTCTTAATTCCAAGGTTCCTTTATAGAATTCTAGGAAAAAAGAGAAAGTTGGTTCAGGAGTTATCTTGACGGGATTCTCTAATTTTGGCAGAGAACAAAAAGCAAAAATCATACTCAGATTACTCCTACGAATATTAAGATTTTCTGATCCTAGCTACCTGTTTTTGTACTGGTGCAGATACAGTGATGGAGATACAATAATGTTAAAGTCATTGCGTTTTCTTATTAAACGTACAAAATTATCTTTCTCGGATTGTTGCAATAAAAAATACCTTTTTTCACTCATACTGAATTATAGTTTTATTGTTTTGACTAATTTGTATCTTGGATTCGAAAACGGATGTCTGTGGAACATTAAATAAAATGACAGCTCGAAAGGTAAAATGGCATGGTCAAAAAGATGATGATTTTAATAATTAAATTTCTGTTTTATCTTCAAAAAAGAACGGTCCTGTTGAGTTAAAATTTAACATAAAACCCATCAAATGGCATAAAATGGCTCGTCAAAATTAAATTTGGTTCCAACGAAAATAATGCTAATTGTGTCATACATCAGCTATTCTCCATTTGGGTTAAATCAAACTGTATTTGGTAATACCAGAGGCAATTATTGTCTAACCGAAGGAGTCGTCATTTTTAGATCATAATCTTTAATTAGAAAAACTATCATGGTGGGTTGCCATTTATAAAAAAAAAATCCAAAACTCGAAAACTAAAAGAAATTTCGAAAAATAAATAATAAATAAAATATTGACAAATGGTCACGTTTTAATTGTACTTTACACTACACTAATTAATTTTTTCGTAAAGTGCTTAGTTTACGACAAAAATACTTTTTATTCACTAGACTTGTGTAAATGCCACTGAGGTATTTTACCACTAATAAAGATATTTGATTTGATAAGAACAAAATTAATTTCTCAAAATCGTTCATCGAGCGTGAATTTAAAGAAAAAAACTTTCCAGTATATTCTAAGTAAGTAAATTTTAAATAACTTTTTTGCACCAAACTATTAAATATTTAATTTCTGAAAAAAAATAATTATATTCTACTATTATTAATGATGGTGAATACTACTCGAAATCTGTTTTGTCTATTTACTCTTTATCTCCAGTATTATTTTATACTGTAAATTTCTCACCTTTTAAGTCTTGTAGCACCCATTCTCGAATTCAGAACTAATACTGTAACAATAAAGAGTTGTCTTTTATCACGATTAAAACCAAATTTTCGTGTCAAATAATCATAAATAATTAATTTGAAACTTTACAACTCTACCACTTAATTAACATTTAATAAGGCGTTTGTCTGAAAACAAAATTTTCTGAACAAAATTCAAATAGAATTTTTAAATAAATGTCTTAGTAATTAGAAACTTTTAAACTAGGGATAATGAAAAATTCTCTTTTTATTCGTAAAACTGAAAAGTTGTCTAAGCTAGTATTTTTTTCTTTGATCTCATTGTGACCCGAATTGTGTTCCATCAACCACGCAAACTACAAAATGAGTGAAGATTACTTTTGGTTGGTTTTGAAATGTTACAATTTAAGCGGCTTACGAAAATCGAGTAATGGGTTTTTGAGGGTGCTCTCAGTGTATATTCTTTACCCAATCATGTTGATCATTTTCGGTATGACAATTTACAATATCCGTTATCGTCACAGCAACATTTTTGAAATCACCGAAGTGTTTATCTCAATCTGTTATTTTTTACATGTAAATCACCACATTTGAATTTTCAGTGTACACATTTGACTTTTCTAGATGGTCCTGCGAAAGACATTGTTGATGAAAAACAGTTCGCTCTATGAGGAGATTTTAGAACAGCAGTTTCATTACTGGAATTATGGCTTATTTGGCGAATCCACTGAAACAAAACTAAGAAAAAATATGGAAATTTGTGTTTCTATCCTGAAATTTCTTCTGATGAATGCATCCATATCTGTAGGACTTCACAGCATATCACCATTTTTTGTAAAAAGTCTACAGCTGCCTCAATCTTGTTGGATTCCTGAAAATAATCCTATAGCTAGAGATGTTATTTATCTCTTCTTAGTGATACTGTACGTTGAATGTATCAATTATGTCGTTGTTTTTGACGGTTTTTATTTATTAATCGCTACGAATATTAGAACACAATTTGTCCTTTTACAAAAAGCGGCTGATTCTATTAAATTAAAAAGCGGTGAAGAGGAAATTATCTGGGCGAAATTGAAAAAATATAGCCAGTATCACAGTTTTATTTTAAGGTAAAGTTTTGTTTAAAAATTGATTTTTATTAATTATAGTTTCAGCGTGCACAAAAAACTCAATAAAATCTACTCGGAGTTTTTTCTTTGTAATTACATTCTCACCATATTGGGAACCTGCATTCCGTTATTTATTATATTTGACCGGTGGGTACTTACAGTAAATTTCTATTTTTATTTAGTCTTGTTTATAGTTCATCTAATATTGCTGAAATTCTAGAAAGTATAATTGTTGCATTTATAATAAATGTTTTACTCGTAATGGTCTTTATTCCCGCTAGCAATATTGAAATCGAAGTAAGTGTAAAAGTAAGACGACGGCTGTAAACCACTTTATTTCAGGCTGAAAAATTGGTTTTTCATATTTACAATATCAACTGGTACGAAACGAGAAATTTAAAGATTCGTAAGTTTATTCTTTTTTGGCTCATGCAAGCACAAGTTCCTGTTCAATTGACTGGAGGAGGGATGCTAACAATAAACAGAACTTTAATGCTTCAAGTAAAATATCACTTTTGTTGGACTTTTTCCTTAAACTGAATTTCAGATTCAACGTATTGGAGTTTCATTCTCAACGTTATTAACGGGATTAGCACCTTGAATTTTTGGCGGAAAAACTACCAACAATTTTTTTCACTATTTTGCATGATTGTGGCACAATTTTATTGTTTTGCATCTTGTGTGTGTTTATATTTATATAAAAAGTAATTATGTTTAAGCAATTAACAATGTAAGATAAGAAAATTGTATGAAAGATGTTCCAGAACAAAATGTTTAAAACACTGCATGAAACTTCACTGAAATCATTTTTTTGTTTTATTAGTTTTTTATAAAAATGCATATACAAATATAATATTCATTCTTCTCTGTTAGCTCTAGATTAGTTACACGTTATTTATAATAAGAAATTTCTAAAAATAAATAACTGAAAAGGTTGATTTTGTATTTTTTATGCAACTAAGAAAAATAGAAGAAAATAAGTTAAAATAAAAGTAAAAAAGAAACAACAAGAAAGATTTTGAGTATTTAATACAACGCCTCACAACACCATGTAAAAAAAAAGATTATATGGAGCTATGGTCATTAAAAAATCTTAAAAGCTTTTAACTCTGAAGATAGCTATACAGGGTGTGTCAGAACTCGCGCCCCAGAAAAAAAATTCAGGTAAGATAATATACCTACCAGGATCAGTGAAATAAGGTTTAAAAAATTCTGTCAAAAAAAGTAGACATTTATTTTTTGACATTTGACATTTTTTATGTCTATTTAATGATTCTGATTATCTTTTTTCACAATTATTTAGTAAAAATATAAAAAATTTGAAAATAAAAGCCACAAAATAATATTAAACAGCGTTACAATTTAGTACACAGCTTCCTTGTTTCCTCTTCTAACAGCCTGTAGTAAAAAAACTTGGAAAATTATTTTTCCAACAGAAATAAATAGAGTCAAAGTGCAAAATTTAAACTCTCATAACTTTGAAATTTTTATAGATAGATTTTTTTTATTTTTTTCTATGTTCCTGGTACCTTACCCTTTAAATTTAAACTTCTATAATTTCTAAATTTTTATAGATAAAATTTTTTTAACATTCTTTTCATGTTCTTGGTATCTTACCTTATATGGCTTTGTTCTATGGGGCGCGAGTTCCTCACTCACTATTTTTTATTATCTTCTACCTTTTTATTATCTTCTACGACACGAGAAATTTAAAAATTCGTAAGTTTATTTTTTTTTGGCTTATGCAAGCACAAGTTCCTGTTCAATTGACTGGAGGAGGGATGCTAACAATAAACAGAACTTTAATGCTTCAAGTAAAATATCACTTTTGTTGGACTTTTTCCTTAAACTGAATTTCAGATTCAACGTATTGGAGTTTCATTCTCAACGTTATTAACGGCACCTTAAATTTTCGGCGGAAAAACTACCAACAATTTTTTTCACTATTTAGCGATGATTGTGGCACAATTTTATTGTTTTGCATCTTGTGTGTGTACAATTCATATAAAAAGTAATTATGTTTAGGTAATTAACAATGTAGGAAAATTGTATGAAAAATGTTCCAGAACTAAAAGTTTAAAACACAGCATGAAACTTCACTGAAATCATTTTTTTGTTTTATTAGTTTTTCATAAAAATACATATACAAATATAATATTCATTCTTCTCTGTTAGCTCTAGCTTAGTTACATGCATGTTATTTATAATAAAAAAATTCTAAACATAAAATAACTAAAATGTTTTATTTTGTACTCAATGTTAAAGAGTGTTTTTATCAACTAATTTCAGTAGATAAAGTAGTTTTTATCGTCGAGTGAAATAAAGTAATTTTTATCTACTGTTTATATTCAAGAAATTCTGGTACATGAGTAGAAAATAAAACAAAATATTATACGTGAAAAAAGTTCACTCGTAACTTCATCACTCGTAAATTTAACCTTTTCACTCGTAGATAAACAGTTTCTTTATCGTCTTGTATAATAAATAACTATGATTTTGTATTTTATTATGAAACTAAGATAAATAGAAAGACATAAGTTAAAATAAAAGTTAAAAAGAAACCAATTTAAAAAAAATAAAAACAATATATGGATATTGGGGATAAAAAATGAAATATACCTTATTAAACAGTAATATGTGATAAAATAAAAATAATAATGAGTACCGAACTAAAAAAATTGCACCCCAGATTCGAACCCGCGGCAACTATGATCTATTTCGCGTGTAATCCGGCAGGTGGCACTAACGCAAACGTTAGTTTTGCGTAAGGATGTTTTCCAAATAAGTTGGATAAGGAAAGTCCTGTGATGTTCACACCAAATTATTTCATTGTACTTTTTTAACACACCTTTTCCTCACACACTATTTTTTATTATCTTCTACCTTGCAATAATGCACGTGATAATAAATAATACACGGAATGATTTATTGTTTTATTACTTGCTGCAAAGATAAAATAAAAGTTTTTGTTGATCGTTTATTATTTATTTATTATTGACTGTTTCTTCAATCCATTTTACGTAAGGAAACGTCCTTGTGTATCCAGAAGGATCCTCACTTTCACAACCGTTTCCACTAAAAAAAGTTGATATCCCCACGTGTTCCACAACGGGGGACCCTAAGGGCCTGACGACTAACGGGCCACCGGTGTCGCCCTTTAAACAAACATTAATAAAACATTGCAATTAAAGTGAAAACTTACATAACAAGGACCTTCAATATTACTTCCTCTAACACAAACCATATTTTCGGTAATTTGTGAGCCAAAAGTTGCTTTGCATTCAAGATTCGTTATGATATCAACTGTAACATATCGCAATTCCGGAGCTAAAGTTGTATTTGCTGTAGCAAAATTGTTAATGACAGATGTTTTCTGAATTCTAAAATAAGAAATACCGTCACTGGTCTGGCCCCACCCTAGCGCTGTAGCTTTTAAAATTGTGGGTAAATTCATTGAAGCGAGTTTAATTGTTTGAACATTTTCGGAAAGTGGGACTCGGGTTGTGATATAGATAAGTCCTATATCGTTCTTAAGAGCTGTTGCATCAAAATCTGGATGAATAATTACTGTTGAATCAGAGGATTCCACAAAGCGATGAACGCGATTGGGGTCATATTCTTCCAGACTATTTGAGCCGAGATTGACAGTGATATTATTGGCCCTAAACAAATTATTGAGCTTTAGTAAAATCGAATGTCTTAGTTTTACTGATATAAACAAAGAGCTGATGTTAGAATCCAGTTCTCATGGATGAGAGCTCCCCCACAGGAGTACTCAACACTTGGGGTTTTAATTTTGAGAGCCGCCATGAATGGGAATTGGGCAGGTTTTGCAACCTTTCCTCCAATAATACGACTTTCTGAAAATACATATGTTTCAGAAAAAAATATCAAGTGAAAAACTATATTGTTGGAAAATTAAAGAAATATTTACTGAAAAATAATTCGTTTAAATACCACTTTAGCCCAAAAAAATTATGAGTACATGTTAAGTTTTATGAATTAAAGATGAAAATAGGAATGTTTTTTTAACCACGTAGTTTCAAACATTTGCTTCTAATAGTATTGAAAATGCACCACCCTGTACAAATTAATGGTATAATTTTTTACCTATATTGTCTTCAATGAAGGCGAAAGCATTCTAAAATTTATTTGGTCAAGTTTAGCTACAATATTTACATTGAGTTTTACCTTATTTCGTAAATAAAGCAAAGCAAATAAAAAACTTAGCACAAACTTCATCCTGTATTTTTACTACAACACTTTCGACTAAAAAGTTTATTATTCTATTATTTTAATTTTATCTTATCTCTCTCATAAAAAGTAATACATTAATTGTTAGTCCCTTAATTGATACAATAAACAGTTGGTAATAAAATTCGAATCTCTTTGAACACTCGATAAATTCCTTATTTTTTTAAAAGAAAAAGTAAAAACTTTGAGGAAAAACATTTAAAAAGACATAAATGAAATGAATTCAAATAAATAATTTGTCATGGTTTACTTTTCTTGGCCACCTAAACTTTTGACTCTTAATACAAAAAGAAAATCAAAAATATAAAAAAAAAACACATTAACTTATTTTGTAGACACTTTAAATCAATAAGACAAAAAACAGAATGTATTATACAACGTGTCTGCAGTAATTTTAATCACTTGTAGTCAAATGCAACATTTTCAATTCAAATTCAAATTTTCAATTTTCAAATAATTAATTTTGCTTTGTTTATTTTAATTTCGATATCTAAAAACAGAAAAAAAATGAATCAGAACAAATAAAAAATATATTACATAATTAATTAAAAATTATTATTCTTTTTATTTGAAATTTTTGCAATTTTTAGTCTTTTTACAGAAAATTACAAAATTATAGTTTTCAAACTATTTACTCTACCGTTCCGTCTTTAACCAGTTCCAAAATGTACCACCGGAAGAATTTGTCGCTTGTGTACAAACAAGATTTCAAATGAAAAAAAGAAAAATTGAATTTTTAAGAAATACAGTAAACAAATTGTTTTTTTACAATTTAATGTTGTTCCTGAATTAAAAAAGTACCTTACACACAGTAACACCGAGTTTTTATCTCATTTTGAGTATTTGTAACGGATTGCAAAATTCAATAGTTTTAATTTTTATATGAAAAAACGCATTATTTAAATTGCATGAAAAAAATACAGTAACATAAACAGGTAATCTACAATACACCAAAAATAAATCAAAAAATTCTTCCGAGCAGTTTTTTTTATAAAAAAATAAAATGGCCAAAAGTAGAGGTTTTTTTAAATTTATTTTTAACCGGCACGGACAAAAAATTTCAAATTAATATACGGAGTGGTTCTAAATGATTTTCATCTAGCCAGCTTTGGAATTTTTTTGCATGTAACTTGATTTGTGCCGCTCTACTTTTTTTGAAAGCTTTAGTTCTGTCATTAGTGTCACTTATTAATTAATAATAAATTGTTGTTAATTAAACTTTTATTGTTTCAACTAATTTCCAATAATAATTGATAGTAATGTGTACTTTGGAAGAAAACAAGTTTATAATTGAAGTCTATTTTCGAAGTGGATGCTTAGTAAACGACGATTTTTTGAGTAATTTTGAGTTAAAACAAGTAGGTACCCCTATTTTCGTAAAGCGGCATTTTTTATTTTACATGGAAAATTCACAGCTGGCTAGATGAAAATCATTTATAACCACTTTGTATAATGCAGCTAAGGCCATCAACAAGTTATGATATTTTCTTCAGAATTTTTAAATAACGATTTATTTTTTTATTCAGTGTAGTTCAACCTTAAAGTGCAGTTAGTAGTGTAAAATGTCAAATGTTGATGAGAAAAAGACAAGAAAGAAAGAGCATTGGTAAATGTCAATAATGACAAGGAAAAAGTAAAAACGCTTAAGCGCAAAAATACTCTATGGCTGAAAAACTTTTACTTGTGATTTAGTCATAAAAGTGGTCACTTTTGTAACGTTTGCTGATAAAGAATATAGCTTGGTCCGTTATTTGTCTACTTTTGCTGTTTTTTACTTGTTTTTGTACTTACCTTGTTTGTGTTTCTTAAGGAAAACGAAAACTCTTACTTTTTTTAATAAACATTAAACAATAGTTAATAAATAGGATGTGCTTTAATAAATTCTGGAATTAGGTGCCATACTTGTTTATTCTACAGCTAAAACGATGTTGCACTTATTGTTTGAGAACTACAACATTAACTCTTTCTAGTACCTACATTACAAAAACTAGAAAATTCTAAATTGTTGAGACAAATTACGACAGCTTAGATAGTAATGTTGACAAAGAATATCCAATACGTTGGATCTAAAATTATTCATAAGAAGTTTTTCAAAAACTTTAAAACTCTTACTTGAAGCATTTGAGACCTAGTTATATTTAACATTCCAGCCCCTGACATTTGTACAGGAGTCTGGGCATGCATTAGCCAAAATAACACAAATTTTTGAATTTGTATATTCTTGCTGTTGTACCAATCAATTCCATAAATCGCAAATGCAACTTTTTCAGCCTGAAACACTTTATTATTTCATTTCACTAATTATTTTATACTCATACTTCGATTTCTATGTCGCTGGCAGGGATAAAAATGATAATGAGCAAAGTGTTTATTATCGAACCGATAAATACGCTTTCAGTGATTTGAGCAAGAGTCGAAGATCTGAAAAAAACAAATTAATTGCCTGAAATGACATTTCAGGGTTTATTACTTGCTGTAGATGACAAACAACGTTGTGCAAGTCCCCCAAATTGTAAGCAAATATTGATAAAGAAAAAATTGTGAGTACATTTTGTTTATAGTTTTATGCATGCTAAAAACCAGATGAGAATCTCCTCAGAAATTATGCGTGCTTACCTCAACAAAAATTTGTGGTACTTGCAGAAATCTTTCAGTTTTTGCCACGACTTTTCTTCACCTTCTTTCTCAACACTAATCGATTCAATAGCTGTACGCAAAAGCATAAATTGTACTTTAAGATTAACGGTCATTAGCAGATAAAACGCATCAAACATCTCCATAAGAATGAGACATTCGATGTAAACAATAACTTCCATGATGTAGAGGACAATTCTGGCGATGGAACTGTTTCCAGGAATCCAACTAGACTGTGGTAGCAATAAATCTTTGAAAAAAAAAGGCAAACTGCAATGAACTACAATGGAAATCGTGGTGCCAAACATGATCATGTTTATCAACAATTGACAAAGATCCATATTTCGGTAGCATTTATCTGCGACAGTTTTAGTAAAAGAATTGTATTTCCAAAATTTGTCATGCTTGTCGATAACATTTTCGTTCAAAGAGCCGCTGAAAACGACCAGACTTTTCCTGATCAAAATCTAAAAGCGACACAGTGAAACCAAGAAGAAAACACTCCGCATTTTACATTTCCGAAAGTCGTGGCTGAAACTGAAACTTCAGCAAACTCAAAAATGTGGCGGTGTTTGAAGCGCAGATTGTACAAAACCATGGCATATAAGCTGAGCATTAAGGGGTAGAGAACATAAGTCGAAAAAAATTTCCGAATTCGAGGGCTGTTTGAAGTCAAACCGTACAAGTTGTAACATTTCAAACTTGTGTTAAAGTAAGATCGTAAAGATTTCGACTCCATTTAATTTTTTCTGAAACGTAATTAACGTGGAAAAGTTTTTTTTTCAACTTACTTCTTTTACTGTCTAGTGCTGCTGAAACAATGACCCAAGTCGTAGCTTTGATTCCTTTGAAATCTACATCCGGACAGGTCAATGGAAATAAAAAATTTAAAATAGTTTTACCGACTTTTATCTTCAAAAGCCCACAATTTACTGAATTTAAATGTTTTATCGTTTTGCCCTTTGTAATTAAAGCTTTTTTATTGTTAAAAATTCTATTTGATTTGGCTTTTTTTGTTTTAAAGCAAGCTGATTATTAAATTTTAATTAACTGGTATGACTGGAGGGTCCAATTATGTATTCATAGCATTTGACATGAACTTTCTTGGGGACAATTGTTAAAATTAGACATTAATGGTTATGACTTATTGTGACTGAAGTGTTTTTAGGGTAAGTGAAAACATCCAAATAACAAAATGATTTAAAATAAATAAAACCAATTGTATTATTTATTAAGAAACATATTCTATTTTTATTTTCCGTATTTTTACAATTATTACAAAATTCTTAAACAGTGATTTTTATATAACTTTTTCCTATTTTATATTAATTTCTTATAGAATTTATTAGGTGTCTAAACAACATAAGGAAAATCAAAAAACAAAATTTTGAACTTATCACATATGAAAAATTTTTGTTGTAGCAACTGTATTTTTGGTAAATTTGTTATTTTCGAATTATTTTTGACACAATTCATGTGATTATTGAAGCCGAGTTAGATGAAAAATACATTTTTGCGTGCATTCAATGCGATATTGATCATCATTCCCTGTAATAAACTGTATTGTTATAAAAAATAGACTTTACTCATGTTTTTAGCAATGTCAGGTAGGGACTTCAAAAGAATCATAAAAAATGCAACAATAAGGTAGCACGTTTTTGATTAAATAACATACCTAATTGTTAAAATTGATACAGAAATTTTTATATAGTAACTCGTAATAAGTATAGTTAATTTTTGTTAACATCTTTTTTACTTTTGTAGGGAGTTTAAGTCATAAAAAGTTTGAAGAAGTTTATTTTTCAATATTAGAAAGAAGACGTTTTTTTTTGACGAAAACATGCACTTTTTTTTCTTACTTCTGCAAAGAAGAAAGTACAGAATTTAAAGCTGTGGCAATTTTTTAGTGTTTTGCATTTGCAAAGATTAATACACTAAGAAGTTTGTTAAAAGTTAAATAACTTAAAAAATTTAAATGGAACACCCTATTTTTTATTTTTGCGTCTAATAGATTGATAAATTGTCTATCTAAAAAAATTAACTTTTAATGTCTAGAATTGATAAATGAAAAAAAAAGATATTTAACATTCAATATTAATTGTAGCAAAAATGTTTATCAATATCTGGGTATTGTTGAGGCTATGGCAACCACAGTAATTCCACCCTTGATTTATCCAGAAATTGTAAAAGTTGTTAAAATACTGAAATTTAAATCATTTTATTGTAAAAATAAAGAATAATGGATGCGGTCTAACACAAATGTGATTATTAAGTGATATTTCTTCCATCTCTTGTGCAACTGTGCACTTTTTGGCTACTCAAACAATAGTAATTATTTTTTTTAATGTTTAACTTAAATATCTTTTTAGTTATTAATTATAAACACCTAAAAGTAAATAATTTTAGAAAGACAATTTAATAATCTTTTAAAGGCAAAAACAATAAATAGGGTGTCCCATTAAATTTTTTTAAGTTATTGAACTTTTAACAAACGCCTTTATTTTTTATCTTTGCAAATGCAACACACTAAAAAAATATTACAACCTAATAGCTTGTACCTTCTTCTTTGCGATAGTAAAAAAAACTTTTTCTAGATGTCTTAGTTTTTGTACAATAAATTTTTAAAAAGTGCATGTTTTCGTCAAAGAACCGCCTTATTTTTCACTAAGCAAAATCGACCAATAAAAGTTTAGCTTAAAAACATTGTTATAAAAATCTACATTCAAAAACGCTAAGAGGCATATGGTGTTTTATTTAAAAAAACACAAGTTGGTATAGAAATTTATTTTTGAGACACTGTAATTGAAAATAATTTTATCCGATGGACTAATGTCGTATATATATTTTTTTAATTTTACCATATAAAGGTCACCTGTATATATTTTTTATTTATTGTTTATTTTTTATTACAAGTCATTCTATCTACATAACAAACAAAGATAAAAAGATACAGTTTTGATAGATAAATCTATAAGTAATTTTAAATTCGAGATTCTACATCAGTATCGCCAGCAACAATGAATCTTCTAATTTTGGTTTCCTGTTTTATAATTGCTTTTTCAGCTGTGTCTATAAAAGCAAAACCTGGTAAAACTAAATAAAATAATTTGATTATTATTATTTTTTAATTACGAAATTAGGGGTTCGCATAATTGGAGGAGATGACGCACCTGCAGGACATTTCCCTTTCGCTGCAGCAATTCACGTACAAACTGAAACTAGTAAATTTTTCTGCGGTGGAGCTGTAATAGCCCAACAATGGATTCTCACTTCAGCACATTGCGTTAATGGGTAATTTCACAATTTTTTTATTCAAGTTATTAAATTATGTTTCAGTGCCATCCTTTTCACTATTCAAATAGGGTCAAACACTCTTACAACCACAGATCCTGAACGCGTAACTCTTTCTTCTTCTGAGTATGTCGTACATCCAAATTTTGACCCAGATAGAATAGAAAATGATATTGCCTTGATTAAACTAAGAATGCCTGTTACGTACACTTGCAAGTTAAGTTTTTATTGTTATTTTGTTGTTTAATTTAAAATTTCAGGGACTATTCAGCCAATTAATTTGCCCCCAGTTAGTCTCTTGAACAATACTGAAGTTACAATTCTTGGTTGGGGTCAAACTAGTGATTGTAAATTGCCTCTTGAGCTGTTTTCCTCCTTCTCACGCTTATTTTGCAGCTGACTCATCACTTTCTGAACATCTTAAATTTGTTAAAGCAACAATTTTGTCAAATGCTGAATGTCAGTTGATCTATGGAAGTCAAATTTCTGACACTATGGCTTGTGTTGAGGGTAATTTTAACGAAGGAACTTGCACGGTGTGTATTTTTTTCAATTGTGGTCAATTTTGTTGTAATTTGCTTTTAGGGAGATAATGGTACTCCATTAGTTGAATACGTGAGTCGCTCTTTCTGGATTGTGGGAGTGGCGAGTTTTATTAGTGGGAATGGGTGCGAAAGTACTGATCCTTCTGGATACACCAGAATTTTTCCTTATTTGGACTGGATAAGAAATGTAACAGCATCCTAACACTCACTTTATTTTGTAATACATTTTTACTAAATATCTGAATTAAATTGGAAAATAAAAACCAAAAAATTAAGCATAAAAATGTCGCAAATTCAAAATATAATAGCTATAGATACTTAAAATACTTTGTATTTTAAAATTTTTACTATTTTTATTTTGTTAATTCTAGCTTTTGTACCGGACTTTTGTAAAATGTTCCGGGGTGTTGAAAAAACTGCGAAATTTATATTAGTTTAGAAGTTATTGTCGAATTAATATTTTTGCGATTTTTGCTATTTTAGCAGCGATTTTTTCAATAACTATTTATCACAGTCCGCATTTTTTCTCTTATTTCAAACAAGCGTAATAAGAGAGCATAAGCATAAAATTATCGTAAAAGCATTTTATTAAATTTTTTCTTAAAAAATCGAAAATTTTAAATTTATGCTTTTTGTAAAAATGGTCAATCAACTTTTGTTTGTGAAAACGTTTGAAATATAGTTTTCGGGATGTAAAATTACACGCTAAACACAATAATATGCAACAAGTTAAAATGCTCTACGATCAATAGTTTTTGAGATATTAAGTAATATACAGGGTGTTGCATCGAGTTGATAGATACTAATCTAGTGCATCACCTAAATTTATTTTCAACCATACAGCATGTCCCAAAAATAAGTTACGATACAAATTTGTGTTTTTTAAATGAATCAGCGTATGTCTCTTAGTTTTAGAAATAATACGTTTTTTTGACGAAAACATGCACTTTTTAAAAACTTATTACACAAAAACTGAGACAGCTAGAACAAATTTTTTCTTACTTCTGCAAAGAAGAAAGTACATAATTTACAGTTGTAGCAATTTTTTAGTATTTTGCTTTAGTAAGGATTAATAAATTAAGAAGAGATTGTAAAAGTCGTTATAAAAACTGAAATTTGAATTATTTTATTGTAGAAATAAAGAATAATAGATTCAGTTTAAGACAAATGTGATTATTAAGTTATATTTCTTCCATCTCTTTTTAGTTATTGATTATAAACACCTAAAAGTAAATAATTTTAGAAAGGCAATTTAATAATCTTTTAAATGCAAAAACAATAAATAGGGTGTTCCATTTAATTTTTTTAAATTATAATTTTTAACAAACGCCTTCATTTTTTATCTTTGCAAATGAAACACACTGAAAAAAATGTTACAACCTTATAGCTTGTACCTTCTTTGCGGCAGTAAAAAAATATTTCTAGATGTCTTAGTTTTTGTGTAATAAATTTTTAAAAAATGCATGTTTTCGTCAAAGAAACCGTCTTATTTTTAAAACTAAGCAAAATCGACCAAGAAAAGTTTAGCTTAAAATCACTGTCATAAAAATCTACATCCAAAAACACTAAGAAACATATGGTGTTTCATTTAGAAAAATACAAGTTTGTATTGTAATTTATTTTTGAGACACGCTGTATACGAAAATAATTTTAGGCGATAGACTAGATTAGTATCTACAGGATGAATAGAAAGTATGGAACAAAGCGGTTTTATTTTTAATCATTTGCCTCCAGAAAATAATAATTAATATAAATTAAAGTAATACAAAAAAAGTGATCGTATTTTCAGAACGAAATTTTGTTTTGTTTTTGAGTTATACCATTTTTTTTGTCAAAATTGCAATTTATGTGAAAAATTTTTTTTGAAAAATTTAAATATAAAGCAGATAGTTGTAATTCTTAGAGTTTATCTGATTTTATAGTGGGTTGCCATTTAAAAAAATATTTTTTTATAGAACTCAAAAACAAAAGGAAATTTTGAAAACTTTTATTCTTGTTAAATCATCACATTTTTATAGTACTTTATCACTCATCAATTAATTTTTTCAAAAAATAGATAGTTTAAGCAAAAAACGTTTGGTTCCATACTTTTTATTCACCTGGTATGAACGTCCTATGTATTTTTTTTTAATTTGACCATTTAACATACACTTTCAAAAATCAAAAACTGATGTTAATAAAAATTAAGTTCTATCTTAAAAGTACAATAAAAAAATAACGATTCAAGTTTATGTACATTGGAAAAAAATACACATTTGTTTCTGAAACTTTAGATGCGATTAAGTTTGTTTTTAATAACAAAATAATGCAATAAATGTATAAAGATTACAAAAGCAATCGACATAAACAAGATATTAACTATATAAATCTCTAAACTAGCAATAAACATTTAGGTAGTTATGTACTAAGAAATGGCGTTAAAATTGTACTTGTTTTTATTCCTTGGATTCACAATTTGGGTAAATTAATTTGTATGAATTCATTTAATATAATTCAACTACATTTTTGTTTCAGAACGTACAAGCAATAAAATGTTGGTGAACTTGCAAGATAAACAAAAATTGAACTTATTTTTTTCAGCATCTCGCATAATTGGCGGCCAGGATGCTAAAGCAGGTCAATATCCTTTTTCAGCAGCCCTTTACATCAACACCCAAACCGGTAGATATTTCTGTGGCGGTGCCCTTATTAGCAATCAGTGGATTTTAACAGCTGGTCAATGCGTCAATAAGTAAATTTGAATAAATCAACACCTGTTTTATTTCAGTTTCAGTGCTGTGTCTTTTACAGTACATTTGGGATCAAACACATTGCAAGGAAACGATTCAAATCGTAAAATTCTAGCATCGTCTGAATATGTTTTACATCCAGATTTTAATCCAGACACACTCGAGAATGATGTTGGTCTTGTAAAACTAAGAGAATCTGTTTTGTACAATGGTGAAACCAAAAATCTTAAAGTAGACACTTTTGATCCATTTTTTGTAGATTATATACAGCGGATTTTGTTAGCTTATGATTATACAGACGATGAGACTGTTCTTACAGGAATTGGATGGGGGCAGACTAGTGACTGTATTTATTCCACTTAATTTTTGATTCAATTTTTAGCGTAATTTGTAGCCAATAATGCACTTTCCGAACATTTGCAATATGTGTCATTGGCTGCCATAGCAAATGATGAATGTGTGGCAGTTTATGGGGACCAAATTTCTGACCATATGATTTGCGTAGCAGGACAGTTTAATGAGGGAACTTGTATTGTGAGTTTTGCTATTAATAATATGAATTAATTTTAACAGTAATGCTGTAGGGGGACACTGGAAGCCCACTTTTGGACAATGATCCTGTGAGTCGCAGTTTGCGACATGTGGGGATTGCCAGTTTCATTAGTGGTAATGGGTGCGAAAGCACAGATCCTTCAGGATACACAAAAACTTACTCCTTTAGAGAGTGGATACGAAATGTGACCAATTTGTAAAATCAAAATGCAATAAAAAACTAGCTGAAATGTTGTTTTCTCAATTAAGTGTAAAACTTAACAATAAAAGAAATAAACTGTCTATAATAACAAAAAATATAAAAAACGCAGTTTTAGTTAGTACTTAGTTTTTATGTTAAATTTATAAATAAAACAATTTTTATTAATTTTAGAATTTTTCAAAATTTAAGAACATTTTTCGATTTGAAAAGTATCTGACCACGGTGCTTGTATTTTTATTAAATTGTTGATAATCTTTTCACTCATTTTTTTAAACTTAAGAACATTTTCTTTGTTTGGAAGGATCTTGATTAGGGTACTACTACTATTTTCAATAAATTTTTGAAAATCTTTTGCCACCAATTTTTTTTTTATTCAAGAACATTTTTCCTATTTGGATGGATTTTGATTACGAAACTACCGTTTTTATATTTTTTTTTATAAAATTTTATGAAATTAAATGAAATCTTCAACTTTACACTTATTTTTTTGAAAATTTAATAATATTTTTTTTATTTGAAAGGATCCTGATTTTTATTACAGTATACAATTTTTCTTAAACTTTCGATCATCTTTTCACTCATTTTTATAAATTTAAGAATTTTTTTTATGTGGAAGGATCTTGATTACGTCTCTATTATTTTTATTAAATTTTTGATAATCTCTTCACTATTTTTTTTGAATTTAAGAAATTTTTTTCTGTTTTGCAAGGATCTTGATTACGGTACTACGTATTATATTTTTATTAAATTTGTGAAAATCTAATCTTTTTATTATTTTTTTTTTAAATTTAAGAACATTTTTTTCTATTTGGAAGGATTTTGATTATGGAACTGCCATTTTTATAATTTTTTCTATAAAATTTTATGAAATTAAATTAAATCTAAAGTTTACACTTATTTTTTTCTAAATTTAATAACATTATTTTTTATTTGAAAGGATCCTGATTTTTATTACAGTATACAATTTTTCTTAAACTTTCGATCATCTTTTCACTCATTTTTATAAATTTAAGAATTTTTTTTATGTGGAAGGATCTTGATTACGTCTCTATTATTTTTATTAAATTTTTGATAATCTCTTCACTATTTTTTTTGAATTTAAGAAATTTTTTTCTGTTTTGCAAGGATCTTGATTACGGTACTACCTACCATTAAAATTAAATTTTTCAAAATCTAATCTTTCCACAATTTAGATTACGGTAGTACCGTTTTTATTAAACTTTTGATCATCTTTTCACTTTTTTTTTAATTTAAGAACATTTTTTTAATTTGGAATGATTTTGATTACGGTACTACCGTTTTTAATAAATTTTCCACTCATTTTTTTGTTTAATTTACGAACATTCTCTCTATTTGGAAAGATTTTGATTACGGTGTACCGTTTTTATTAAACTTTTAATCATCTTTTCACTAAATTTTTTCAAAATTTGAGAACATTTTTTCTATTTGTAAGGATTTTGATTACGGTACTACCATTTTTATTAAACTTTTGATTATCTTTTCACTCATTTGTTTCAAAGTTTAAGAACGTATTTTTATTTGAAAGTATCTTTATTACCGTACTATTATTTATATTAAATTTTTTCAAAATTAATTTTTTTTTTTATTTGGAAAGACTGATTACTGTACTATCGTTTTTATTCAATTTTTAATAATCCTTCCACTTGAAAAGTCTTAAAGATTTTGCGATTCAGTTGCAGCGTGAACACAAAAGATAATAATAGAATTGATTGTGGTCCACCACGTGATCAAATATTTCAGATTAAAATTAGAAAGGCTTTATCTTAACAAGATCTAAACTCAAAAATTTACCAGTTTATTATTAGCTTGGTTACAACTTAATAAGATTAACTAATCCCATCAAAAAATTATCTTATAAATACAGGAAATGTGAGATGGAAGATCATAAACAAAATGAAGATTGCGTTACTTTTTTTAACAGCTCTTTTGTTGCTTGTAAGTAGTTTTTTACTCTGCTGTTTCTAGTACAAAAGTAATGTTTTATTGTAGCAATCGAGAAGCTACTCAAAAAAAATATCAGGTAAAATAGCAATGTTTTGAGGGAAATTCTATATAGCAAAATTTTAGGCCGCATCATTGGGGGCCAACCCGCCTATGCTGGCGAATTTCCTTTTGCTGCAGCAATTTACATAACGACTGCTGATGGTAGATATTTCTGTTCGGGGTCATTAATCGGTCCACAGTGGATTTTAACAGCTGCTCAATGTGCAAATGGGTAAATATATTGAAAAAAAATCCCAGTTGTTTATATTTAACAAATTCCAGCGCGATTTCGTTCAATATTGAATTAGGATCAAATCTTTTAGAAGGAGAAGATGCAAATCGGGTGACTGTAGCAACTTCTGAGTATGTAATACATCCAGATTTCAATCCACTCACACTTGAAAATGACATTGCACTTATCAAACTTCGATTGCCTATTACCTACACGAGTTAGTACACTCATCAATGTGAAAATTTTCTTTTAATCAAAGTTTTAGCATATGTGCAGAGGGTTTTTATGGCTTATGGTAATCTGAGTGACTACACTGACCTAAAAGCAATAGGGTGGGGTCAAACCAGTGATGGTAATTGCTAAATTTGATTTTTTTTCTGAAACAGCAATTTTTTATTTAGCTAATAGTAACTTGTCAAATGAGTTGAACTTTGTGAGTGTTGCTGCTGTTCCCAATTTGGAATGTCAAACCATTTATGGACCACAAATCAATGATAATATGGTTTGTGTCGCTGGCGAATACAACGAAGGGGCTTGTAATGTAAGTCACAGTAATTTTTTTTATAAAAGGTTGAAGGGCGTTTTTAAGGGCGATAGTGGTAGTGCTTTAGTACATTACGATTATGCCAGTAGGACTATTCGACATGTTGGAATAGCAAGTTTTTTGAGTGCAAATGGATGTGAAAGCACTGATCCCTCAGGATATACAAGGACATATAGCTACAAGCAGTGGATAACAAATGTTACCGGAATTATTTCATAAAGTTAAAATAAATTTGTGAAAAATATTGAACGTTTTTCTTTAGTTTAAGCCGAATTTTTGGGTTTGACTGAAACTGAACTGAAAACTTAATTTTTTTCTTTTGTATTTCATGAACTAATTTGTGGTTGACAAATTAAATAAATCACGTGATACTATACTGGCTAGATACATGAAGGAATGCTTGAGAATTAATTTATTATCTAAAGACTAGAATTATATTATTGTGATAAGGATATTTGGAAATAAAATGGAGGAGTAAAAAAGATTTTTTTAAATTCTCTAATACAGGATACAGGAAAATCGCTTAGTTTTATTAATAAGACGTTTTTTTGACGAAAACATGCATGTACAACGTAATTCTTTTAAATCTTTTGATTATTTTCAATTCCCTCTCTTCTTTCTCTTAGTGGAATTATTAAATCAGCATCTACTTGTAATTGTTGTAATAGTTTAAGATTTGTAATTTTATATTTTTTAAATGTTCTACCTTTAGGGAGTTGACGGTTTATAAAATCAATCAGTTCTTGTTTAGATGATCCTTTACTTTAAATCTTTTTATAAACTCACATAATTGAGTTCTGGTTTTATTATTTATATCCTCTATATATCTTTGTCTGCGTTTCAAGCTTCTAAGTTGAGCTTCCATATATATGTATTTTTTTTTAAATAATTTTATTAACAAATTTTTGGTTGATCCATATGTCTTCTTCCTATTGGTCTTTTACATTTAGGACATGGTCTTTTTTCATTATTTGTAAAATATTCTGCCCAGCACTTCTTACATATCGATTGATGTGCGTCATTAAGTTCATTACTAAAAACATAATTTTCTAGTTTTACATTTTGTACAAACCTCTTTACATATAGTTTGTTTACCACATTTAAATTTTCTGGTTTGAAAATAATTATCATTACTTTTTTCAATATTACATTTACTACAAGTACTAGAATCTTGTATTTCTTTTGGGGCAGATTTTTTTTAACTCCAACATTCTTTACAAGTTGCATGATGCCCATCTGAATGATTCTTATTCCTATAATAATTTTCTAATGTCTTTACATTTTGTACAAGACTTGGATTGATTATTATCCATTTATTTACAATTTTTTTTTATTTATCAAAATTCAGCGGTCGGCTCGGCAACCGGTGAGAATATCAGACAAATAAAAAAACATTTATTAAAAAGTTTATCAAATTATAAAATTAATTATAAAATAGTTAAATACAATGATCCATTGGCCTTAGAATACGATTATTTGTTTGATGTAGTCTAGTCGTCAGAATATTAGAGCATGTAATATAAATAAATAAAATAAGATGTAATTATTTGAAAAATGTTATTTTTTAAATATATCTTAAAAACAGACATTAACAATAAACAGGTGTAGTTTTTATATTTATATAGCTGAACAATTAATTGATTTTCAATTTTAGTACTCTAATATGTGTAATGTTCTAACTCAGATTATTATGCCTAGTTTTCTTGGTCATTTGGCATTTTTTTTCAACAAAAACCACAGATTCAGTTGTTACGTCTGGCTCACATTTTTAAGAAATCATATTTTTGCCAAAAAATTTTAAAAAAGGCCATAAAAATAGGGTAGTGTGCATAAAAAATTAATGTTTCAATAGATAAACTGGGTCTAAAAACAGGTCATTTTCTTAATTTTTGTGTTTTTGAACAGACTTCAATGGGCTGTTTTTCAAATTCAACAAACTTCAACGACTAAAACTTTAAAATGGACTTATTTTCTCAAAAAATTGATGTTTTTGGGGAAATATGAGTTAGAATTTGGGGTTAAAAAATAAGGGTAAAAAGTCAAATTCAACGTTGTTTGATGTTTTGGTAAAAAGCCAGGTTTTTTGTTGAACAAAATGCATGGAACATAGGAAAATGACCAAGAAAACTAGGCATAATAAGTGAGAACATTAAACACATTAGACTACTATAGTTAATTGCAATCAAACGTCGATTAACTGATCACGTGACCAAATTGAACCAACCAGATGCTTACTTTTAACCACGAATTAATTTTTAGTTTGCTTTTTATAAACCGACTCTTAATTGTAATTAAATTTAAAAGTAAATAACTTCATTCTTCATTTACTTTCTGAAAATCGACCCAGAGTGGCAACCATTTTTAATTGCCCAATTAACATTATCATTAGTAAAGTAAACATAAAATACGCACATAACATTATAAATTTTTTTTTTAATAATACCATTTTGATAAGTGTAATTATTTTATATCGCTTATTTTGCATATTTGTATTAATATTTATCACTTTAAAAGCTAGTGTTCTCGTTTTTGACTATCATGGTTTAATTTTTATTTTTAAGCTTGTTTCAAAATAATATTGTTTTAAACTAATGTCTCAAACGGTTTCTTCTATAAAGTATATATTTTAGTGGCATTTTGTCAATTTTGACATTATTTTGACAATTTTTTTATAACAATTTTTGTTGGAAAAAACTTTGAAGACAACACAAGTTTTATAGTTTAAACTTCTATTGTCTTAATACCTATTTTTTGTTTTTATTTTTTTTTGTTACACATAAACAATTTTTTTTGTAAACTGTTTATTTATGATAATACACGTTTTTTAAAAAAATAATTTGTTATTCATATCCTACATTTTGCTGATAAGCAAGATATCAAAAGCTTCATAAACTTCCTGTAGTTTCAGTACCTACTCTTCTTTGTAATTTTCACTTAAAATTTTTAAACCATTTGGAAAAGATAAAACTCAAAAAATCTACATAAACAAATATTGTGTTATCATTATTGTTGCATTTAAATTTGTAGCTGTTACAACTAGCTTTACAGATAGGAAAATCATAGACCATTTTTTGTTTAAACTTTAAAATTATTTTAACGAATGTGTAAAAATTAGAAGAAAAATTGCGCGCACTGATAAGAAAGTGGTCAATCACCACACTGTTAAAAGCATAAACTCCAGGTATATAAACAAAAAGTTGACACTTTTGTCAGTACTTTGTTGCGCACCACTTTGAAAATGTCTTGTTGCGCCAACGCCCCCTATATCGGCCCCCCCTTAGACCGGACCTGCTACGGCGGTTCCTTCATCTTCTTCATGCACCTCCTCAACTCCCTCATCACCAAACAGTGCGATGTGTCTGAAATCTGTGAAAGAATCAACCCGAGACCCCAACCTGACTCCGAATACGACTTCGTGGTGATCGGCGGTGGCGCTGGAGGCTCCGTGGTGGCGGCGAGACTATCAGAAATCCCCGACTGGAAAATCCTCCTCATCGAAGCCGGCGGCGATGAACCCCCAGGTTCGCAAGTGCCATCCATGATGAACAACTACGTGGGGGACTCCCAAATGGATTGGAGGTATCGGACAGAACCGCAGGAGATGGCCTGTCTTGGGAAACCCGGGAGGAGGTGTGAGTGGCCGCGAGGGAGGGTTTTGGGAGGAAGTGGGGTCATTCATGGGATGATGTACATGCGGGGGCTTCCGAGCGACTACAACGAGTGGGAAGCAAGAGGGAATGAGGGTTGGGGGTATGAGGACGTGGTGGAGTACTTTAAAAAGTCGGAAGGGAATAGGGATGTTGGTGATGGGATTGAGAAGAAGTACCATAATATTGAGGGTCCCATGTTGGTTCAAAGGTTCCCAGATCGGCCCGAAATGGCCGAGGATATTTTAAGGGCGGGGGCGGAGTTGGGGTATCCAGTGGTGGAGGATTTAAACGGGGAGCAGCATTGGGGGTTTACCATCGCACAAGCAAATATTAAGTAAGTTTTATTAATTTATTAATTACCTTTAAAAATATTTTCACAAAAATTAAATTTTTGTGGCTGGCAACGTAGTTATAGTGTTTCCAACTGTTTATCTCTTCATTTATTGCTTATTTTTACATATTTCACGCTTAATTTATGGTAGAAAGTGTACATAAATTAAAAAAGATAACCAGAACCAGTCACGTGCCAACTCAGAGTTGTCTAATATATAAAAACACTAAATAAATCACCCACAAGTAGTAAGTGCTATAAACATTATAACCATAAATTCTCAATGTTTTTAAAGTGTCTGTTATTATTAATACATACAGGGTGTCCCAGCGAGTTGAAAAAGTCCGTTAGCGACCTTTAAATAGTAAAATTAAAAAATGTATACAGTATGTCCCCGGATTGAGTTTGCAAGAGGAAAATTTTTTTATCTTTGATTTTACGCCAAAATTGCAAAGGAAAAAAAGTTTTTGTTTTACTTGAAACCAGCAAATCTGTAAATAAAACTTCATTATTCTGATTCAGTAGACAGAGAAGTTTATTTTTCTCTTGATTTTGGACTTATAATACTTTTTCCTATCACATTGGCGGTTTTATTATTTTGTCAATGATGTCACTTTGATAAATGAGTTTACGCAAGTTAAATAACAAAAATGTTTGTGAAAAACATAATTTTAATTAACAGCAACTCAAAGAAACAGCTCTAAGGTAAAAACCAAAGTCATTTTTAACAAGAACTATCATTATTTAATTAATAAATTTATTGTCAAAGTGACATATAGTTGTCAAATAATTAAAACCGCCAATGTAATAAGACTTAAAAAGCAGAGACCAATTATTAAATTAAATTAAATTAAATTAAGTCCAAAATCAAGAGAAAAATGAACTTTTCTTTCTATTGAAAATGAAGTTTTAATTACAGATATGCTGGTTTCAAGTAAAGCAAAAACTTTTTTTCCTTTACAGTTTTGGCGTAAAATCAAAGATAATTTTTTTTTTTCTCTTTTAAACTCAATCCGGGGACATACTGTATATAGGACATTGATAGATATTACTCTAATCCATTGCCTAAAATTATTTTCAACTATACAACGTGTCTCAAAAATAAGTTACAATACAAACTTTTTTTTTAAATGAAACACCATATGTTTCTTAGCGTTTTTGGATGTAGATTTTTATGACATTGTTTTTAAGCTAAAATTTTATTGGTCGATTTTGCTAAGTGTTAGGAATAAGACGTTTTTTTGACGAAAACATGCACTTTTTAAAAATTTATTACATAAAAACTAAGACATCTAGAAATATTTTTTTTACTATTGCTAAGAAGAAAATACAAGGTTGTAACATTTTTGTGTGTTGCATTTGCAAAGTTAAAAAAATGAAGGCGTTTGTTAAAAATTCAATAACTTAAAAAATTAAAATTGTCTATCAAAACTTATTTACTTTTAGGTGTTTATAATTAATAACTAAAAAGGTATTTAACGATAAACATAAAAAAAATAATTACTATTGTTTCAGTAGCCAAAAAATGCACAATTGCACAAGAGATGAAAGAAATATCACTTAATAATCACATTTGTGTTAAACTAAATCTATTATTCTTTATTTTTACAATAAAATAATTTTAGAATTTTAGTATTTATTATTATTATTATATTATTATATATTTATTCATTAATCTTCACAAATGCAAAACACTAAAAAATTGCTACAGCTTTAAGTTCTGTACTTTCTTCTATGCAGAAGTAACAAAAAAAATTTTGTAGCTTTTAGTTTTTGTGTAATAAATTTTTAAAAAGTGCATGTTTTCGTCAAAAAAACGTCTTATTCCAAAAATTTAGCAAAATCGACTAATAAAAATTTAGCGTAAAAACATTGTTTCAAAAGGCTACATCCAAAAATGTCAAGAAACATACGGTGTTTTATTTAAAAAAAAAAACAAGTTTGTATTGTAGCTTATTTTTTAGACATTCTGTATGATTTTTAAATTTTAGGTGATGCACTAGATTAGTATCTATGAATGTCCTATACAATAATTGTACCATTTAAAGGTCACTAATGGACTTTTTCAACTCGCTGGGACACTCCGTATATAGTTTATTTTTAATAAGACACTAAATTCTAAAAAAAGTAAAAGCAAACAGTAATAAAAAATAAAAATATTTATGAAACGAAGAAAAACACATTTAAAATTTAAAAAACTGAATATATCTTAAGTATGGAACAATTTGCTAAGCTGTTGTATGTTTTATGAGAATGATTTAATGAAAGAATTTTTTAACAAGTTTGCAAGTTTTCCTTATTTTTCGTAAATGGGAAACTGTAATCATTATAAAAATTTTGATCTTTAATTTTAGTATAAAATCTCACAAACACAATGATTTGTAAACTGTAGAAGGAATTTTATTGGAGTCAGAACCGAAATCTGCTGATAACACTAGCCAACAAGCATTTTGTGACTGAGAAGAAAACAGTTATTTTTTGGTCAATTCTATGTGCTAAACTCAAAAATGATAAAGAAAATTCCATAGCACGTCAAATTTTAAAATTAGGCATTTGAAGATATCATATGTATCGGCGAAAAACGAAACACTTAAAATTCATTTTCTCCATTCTCATTGAAATTTTTTTCCCCCAAATTTGGGTCCGTTAGTGACGAGCAAGGGGAAAGGTTCCACTAAGATATATTGACGATGAAAAAGAGGTATGGGATCCAGCTATGATGGTTTCTGGTAAGGGAAGTTAAACACCCTACAAAAGAAAGTCAGCTTTTGCAAAAAACTCATCTACAACAGATTTATGTTAGAATCTTATACAACTTTCAATGTTCTTGTTTAGTGAATAAATTAATTTCTTTCGTCGTCTATTTAATTAATTTCTATTTGAAATGAACAATTTTTACGATAAAATTTGAGAGAACTATTTTCCTGTAACTTAAAATCTGAACGTGATGGAGAATTTTTCTTATCAAATTCGTAATTACACTGAGAGAACAGTTTTTTACTAGTTAAAGATTTAGCTTAAATGTAAACTAATAATTTTTTAGAATACGACGGAAGAAACTATTGTTATCAGAAAATAAATAATTTGTTTGGAATTTCCAAACATAGCATTTCTTAGTTTTTAAGTGATTCTGATTTTATAAAAACTTAACATCTACTTTAATATTATCATTGCAATGTTAATAATAAGAAATATTTATTAACAAGAAACAAGGATCATTAAAGATTAATAATCTCGCATTAGATATTAAAAGATGTGTTCTTGATAGTTAAGAAGTATATCTTAAAGGGAAAAATATTTTTTAGGTAAAAATATACCTAACGAAGGAATAAAACTGTACATATATTATTTAGAACAATTTATTAAGCAAAATAATAAACATTTAAAACATCATTAAGTACAAATTATGTATTTAGTACTGCACGGGGACGGGGATGCCAGGACGTCAATCACTGCATTAACATTCATAAATTAAAAAAATAGACTTTAAAATTGAAAAACTTACCAAAGATGCAGATTTGTACTCTTTAATATGCCGCATCAATTTGAATTGGTCATCAAATTTTGGCACCAGCTGGGGAAGGAAACTCTGAACAAGATCCAGCAAAATATCATATGTCATTCCTTCATCTGAATAAGAAAAACCAAGAAGTAGATAGTTAGATTCCATCAGTTTAACATTAAATATAATTGCTTAATATTTAACAAAAGTTTTTATCGACAACATACTACATTATTTACAAAGTGAAATTATTGCAGTTGAAATAACATTATGGAGAATGTAGTTTGCCACAGTCCAAATCAGCCACTGCTCGAATCTATTGCTCATAAAAATATTTTTATCTTAATAGCGTGTTGCAATTAAAAATTTCTGGTGGTGGCTAATCCGGCGATTGTAAATATCATTATACTAACCTTCAAATTTTTGTAGCAGTGTTACAAAATGCCACTGCTTCAGCAGCTTTTGGCACTTTTCGTCAACCGTACTCCTGCACTCCTCAAAACACAAACACAAATACAACAGAAAAAACAAATGACCATTAAACTATTCGTTCATGTAAAGACTCGTTTGAACAAAGTTGGAGCACATTCACCACACACAACGTGCAACTGCATGTTGTGGTGAGCATGCGCGCAATTTTTCCAAGTAATATTTACGTATTTACATTTGAAGTTCCGTTTGTTATATGTTAAGATCTTTATATTGGTTAAAAAAGAATAAACTGTTGTTGAATAATCGTTTCCATTGGTTATCATGTAAAGAAAATACATTATTGACTAAACAAAAATTTAAATAGATTTATTAACTATTAAATTATTACTTATTTATTACGATTTATAGTTTACATACTAAATAACAATACCGTAAAGAATATTTTGTTCAATAATAATAAATCAATAACTTAATGGAAAACCCGACATGTTATTTTCCAATGTTGATTATTGCTTGAGAACATCCATGGATTAGTATTAAACTTTTCTTAGTCAAACTAATCTATCATTTAGCTGTTACTATTCATTTTTCTCAGTGTAGAGATGTTAATGTACCCTGATACACGTGTCAATAGATCAATCACATTAAAAAAAATTGTTGGGTAGTGTAATTTTCTAGTAATTTGTAATTTTTGTGTAATTTTTTACTCCAGAAATGGTTCAAGGTTGAGCAGTGCGAGGGCTTTTCTGCGTCCAGCCCGTGATCGCCCAAACTTGCACATAATGCTCAATTCAACAGCCACCAGAATCATGATCAAGAGTAACGACACGGGAAAATCAATTTCAGCAGTGGAATTTACTTCTAACAACCAGTCTTTTACCGTCAATGTCAGACGTGAGGTTGTTGTCTCAGCTGGTGCTATCAATTCACCCCACCTTCTGCTACTATCTGGAATAGGGCCCAAAGAAGAATTGGACAAAGTGGGGATAGAACAGGTTCATGATTTGCCAGGTGTTGGACAAAACCTCAAAAACCACGTCTCGTTTGCGTTAAATTACCAATTGAAAAAAATTAAAAACTATAATGACCTCAATTGGGATAGTGTTAAGGAGTATTTGGCGGGTCGAAAAGGGCCCATGTCTTCTACTGGAGTCACTCAAGTCGCAGCCAGGATCAGTTCTGAGTATGCTGATCCTGATGGCAGAAATCCCGACTTGCAATTCTTCTTTTCGGGGTATTTGGCGCAGTGCTCGCTCTCAGGTGGAGTCAAGGAATCGGAAGATCCGACAAAATCTCAAGCTGCGAAGAGTTTTACCATTAGACCAACTTTGTTGAGACCAAGAAGCAGAGGTTTTATCGGATTGAAGTCCAAAGATCCGAAGGACTCTCCTCTTATGCAGCCAAATTACTTGACAGATGACGAAGACGTGATAAGAATGGTTGCAGGAATTCGGATTGCACAGGATTTGGCAAATACTAATGTCCTTACTAGGAAATATGGCATACAAATGGTAGAAAACAATTATGGGGACTGTTCTCAAAATTACACGTAAGAAATATTGCATCAAAACTATAATACAGGGTGTTCCAATGAGTTGAAAAAGTTCATTGGTGACCTTTAAATGGTAAAATTTAAAAAAATTGTATAGGTCATTGATAGATACTAATCTAGTGCATCACCTAAAATTATTTTTAACCATATAGAATGTCACAAATTTGTGTTTTTTTTTAATGAAACACCGTATGTTTTTTGGCATTTTTCGATGTAACCTTTAGAACAATCTTTTTACGCTAAACTTTTATTAGTCGATTTTGCTTAGTTTTAGAAATAAGACGTTTTTTTTGGGGAAAACATGCACTTTTTAAAAATTTATTACACACAAACTAACACAGCTAGAACAATTTTTTTCTTACTTTTGTAAAGAAAAAAGTACAAAATTTAAAGCTGTAGCAATTTTTTAGTGTTTTGCGTTTGTATAAAGATTAATAAATTAAGAACTTTGTTAAAAGTTAAATAACTTAAAAACATTTAATGGAATACCATATTTTTTATTTTTGCATCTAATAGATTAATTTAAGTTATTGAATAGCCAGCTGACTTTTTTTAAAAATTTTATTTGAAGTTCTACAATTCTATTTGAACAATTTTCGTAAAAGTACATCTCGAGCATCTTTCAAACGTGTTCTTGAATAAAATTTCCATTTGACAGGAAATGTTAACATAGGTTCTCAATTCATTTTTGCAAAGATATTCCTTTTGGATTTTGTCGCAAATGTTTGTCAATGGCCACAAATAGGACTCGGATTTTAAAACATATTTTGAAGATGATATAATTGTTTGAAATTTTTGGTCAGGAAGAGGTATCAAGTAGAATAATTCTAATTCACGCGTTTCGTAGAGAGGGAAAGAAAGAAAATAGATTATTTTGAATTTATTAATGACGCATTTAGTAGTTAAAATTCCTTTATAATTTTGGATATTTTCAGATTTTACAGAAAATGGTAATTGATTTGTAAATAGATTCAATTTTTAAAAGTTTTTTCATTAGTTATTATGCTTGGGTGAACAGTTTGTAATTTACAAAATGTCAATGAGTTTTCGATATCTTGGGCAATATGTATTCTGAATTACATTGAATAAGTGACTAGGTTGGTTCAACGTGTCTTTAATAAATAAGACGTTTATTTCATGCTCTGTGACATTTTGAAATTTTGATGTTAAAGAGTATAACGCCCTCTCGTTGTGTTCTATATCTTTTATAGTGTTTTCAAACTAATTAATTATTTATTGGTTAATTGAAAATTGATTACTTAGTTGGTGAGCGATATTATTTTGATTTTGTTTTATTGTATTAATGACACTATTTATTCTTTTTTTTTTTTAAATTAATTTTGGTGCATCAACACGTGGTTATTAGCACCACTACGGGGGTACAATTATTCTTTCGTTATCTTCGGAGTCCATATTTCCTGTAATAGTTTTTATGATTGATGCTAGTATATTAACTAATCCTCTTTTTATTCGTTTATTTTGAAGAAATGGGTAAAATTTTTCGTCTACGAGGTTAATGTCATAGTGAAAAATTTTCAGGTAATTTTGAATTTCTTTTTGAGTTTCCGTTTCGTTAACTGTTGAGTTTTTTATGATTTCCAAAGTCATTTTGCAATTTATTATATTCGGTTAAAAGACCGGAAATATCAAGTGGATATGATGGGACAAAGATTCAAGTCGTGATTTATTGATTAGGTTTTATCGTTTTACGCTCAGGATTTGTTTCTAAAATTTCTTTGTTCGTTCATCGATTCCGAACTTTGGATCTAAAATTACTTTTAACGAATACTGTGTCAGGTAGCTGGGCTGGTATATTTTACCTATTTTTATTTAATTTTGTTATAATCTTTTCTTTGTTTTCTGTTAGTCGGTTATTAATTTCTTTAAAAATGATGCAGTTTATCTTTATGAGACTATAAATGGTTGTTAAAATATATTAAAAAATATTTAATTTTCCTATACATTTTTTTTTTAATTTTACCATTTAAAGATCACTAATGGACTTTTTCAACTCGCTGTATATTTAGTTTTTTATTTCCAGTTTTGACTCGGATGAATTCTGGGCATGTGCCTTGAGATATGACACAGGTCCAGAAAACCATCAGTCTTGTTCTTGTAAGATGGGTCCGTCTTCGGATCCCACAGCGGTGGTAGATCCCAAATTGCAAGTTCATGGAATCGAAGGATTGAGAATTATGGATGCGTCAGTGATGCCTACAGTGCTCTCGGGAAATACTCATGCAACTGTTGTGATGATTGCTGAGAAAGGATCTGATTATATTAAGCAGAAATGGTTAACGCAATAAAATTTTTAAATACAATGTTTGTCTTAATAACTAATAATAATTCACACAACCATTCTAGTTTTTTATATCGGCTAAAAGCTAATACATTAAACACAAAGAAATTGAGAGACAAGAGGCAAAATAACAAATTTGTTTTTCTGAGAGTGATTTTAAAAATTCTTGTCAAAACCTTTATTTATAAACAATTGTTTAATTATTATTTTTGTTACGGTGTGTTTTTGCATTTTTAATAAAAAAATTATAAATTCGTTAAAGAATATTTAAAAAGTACTTCTACGATATAATGAAATAAAAAAGATCTTTTTGATAGAGACCTTGAGCGAAAAAAGTGAAATGCCGTAAGTAAGAAATACTTTTGCAATTTTCTGAGAAAAGAAATGTCCAAAAATGGGTGAAATTTTTTTAAGATCCACCCAAAATAGGCAAAGCAATATAAAATAGTGCATTTGAAGAAAGTTTTTGCAATTTCTGTTTCTTTGTTTTATTCGGACTGACTTTTAACTGGGATTTCTCTTAACTTCAGAAATTTTATCTACCAGATGTATAAAACTTATCTCTTAAATGCGTTTTTTGGTTTCGGTCAATTTCAGACAAGAGAATGTCTCTTATTGTTTTAAAGATTTTTTTGAGTATTTTTTGAGTATCTAAAAATACAACTAACATAATCATCTATTTGAGAAGTTTTTACCAATTATGGGACTTTTTTAAATATCATTTTTATATGTGTGATTTTTTTCTTTTTTTGGTTTTTCTGGTTCAGCAATAACATTTTGAGGTGTTTTTCTTTGAATTTTCGAATAATTTAGTCACTGCTGGATCTGAAGGATTGTTGGTAACGGAAATAAATTGAATTGGATTTTTACTAAAATTTATTAAAACAAAAAATATTTAATTTTCCTATATATTTTTTTTTAATTTTTCCATTTAAAGATCACTAATGGAGTTTTTCTATTCGCTGGGACACCTGTATATTTCGTTTTTTATTTCCAGTTTTGACTCGGATGAGTTCTTGGAATGTGTAAAAGAAGTTTCTTATTTCAAACCTATATTCAAAGATTTTTTTGATAGAGACCTTGAGCGAAAAAAGTGAAATGCCGTAAGTAAGAAATACTTTTGCAATTTTCTGAGAAAAGAAATGTCCAAAAATGGGTTAAATTTTTTTAAGAACCAGCCAAAAGAGGCAAAGCAACATAAAATAGTGAATTTGAAGAAAGTTTTTGCAATATCTGCTTCTTTGTTTTATTCGGATTGACTTTTAACTGGGATTTTTCTTAACTTCAGAAATTTTATCTACCAGATGTATAAAACTTATCTCTTAAATGCGTTTTTTGGTTTCAGTCAATTTCAGACAAGGGAATGTCATGTTTTAAAGATTTTTTTGAGCTTAAAGATAAAATTGCAACAAAACCTTAAAATATTCCAAAATGGTGCATTTAATAAAAGTTCTTGCTATTTCTGTTTGCTTCGGAACGACTTTTACCCACAAACGTCATAAAAGTGGTTAACTTTTATGACTAAATGTCACAAGTAAAAGTTTTACTTTTTAGCCATGAAGTAATAATTATATTTTTCAGTGCTTCAGCAATTTTTGGCGAGGTACATTGTAGATCATCAGCATTCAAAATTTTGCACTACCAACTGCACTAGTTAAATTAATAAACATTTCCAAAAATCTCAACACAAATTCCGATACTGACGCATGATGTTTAATTACAAGAGTTATTATAATTTCACTACTTGCGAAGCGTCCTAATTATTTTGTTTATTTACTCGTTAATCGATCTGAATACATTTGCGGATAAAATAGTATACAGGATTTTCCGTTTTTATTGTTACAAATTTAAACAGGTGATAGTATATTAAATTCTAAGACAAAAGTTTCCTATAAACATGTATTGAAAAATGCTTGGTAAGGGAGCTACACCCCCTGGAAGGGGGCTAATATATTTTTGCTAATATTTCAGAAACCATTTAAGATAAAATTACAAAATTTGGTACAGATGATAATCTTTATACACCTAAACGAATTCAAACATCAAATGTCGAAATTTTTAATCAGGGGCGTACGAAACTAAGGGAGTTTAAGGTAAAAAAAATACCCTATTTATTTTGGCTTTAGTTTCTCGGTACTTTCAGCAACAAAATCTTAAGTTCGATAGTTTATCACAGAAAAGTCTCTCTTGTGTCGATACGACTTATTGTTTTTGAATAAAATTAATTTAAAATTTATGTTACACACCGATACAACATTCAAATAAATCAGAATTTACAGAATAATAAAAGCAAGAAATTCATATTTTTTAATCAACCTCAACTAATTAACATTACATTACAGTAACAATAATAACATTAATTAAATGAATTTGCCTAAATCTAAAGGAGTTGTTCAAAGTGACCACCATTTTGGTCAATGCATAACTAAAGAAACTAGAGCCAAAATAGATAGGGTATTTTTTTACCCTAACCCCATCAGTTTCGGAAGCACCTGATAAGAAATTTCGACATTTGATGTTTGAATTCGTTTAGGTGAATAAAGATTATCATCTGTACGAAATTTTGTAATTTTATCTTAAATGGTTTCAGAAATATTAGCAAAAACCTATTAGCCCCCTTTCAGAGGGTGTAGCTCCCTTACCAAGCATTTTTCGATACATGTTTATAGGAAACTTTTGTCTTAGAATTGAATATCCTATCACCTGTTTAAATTTGTAACAATAAAAACGGAACACCCTGTATGTTATTCGGAGTTGAATTATTTGCCTCACTACGTTTGACAAAATAAACGTTCCATTCCGCCATATAAACTGTCACTTTTACTCCTAATAACATAATATACTCAGAATTTTTTAGCAGAAAATTTAAGTTCTGAATGCGTTATTTGGTTTTAATCAATTTCTTAAAGAGAAATTTTTTAGAACTTAAAGATACGATTACGATAAAAACTTTCTTTAAGTATCAATCGAAACACTTTTTCAACAAAAATTGAAAATCGAATCGAAAAAAAATGGCTACGGTTACGCATTAAAATGAGGTGTACAAAAACATTTCAATTGTCCTGATTTGTACTTCTATAAGATGGTTCCAATTTTTTTATCCGTTGATTTGTTTGTGTTTAAGATTTCTGTAAACCGGTTTTTATTGTAGGTAATGACGGTAATAAACGCAATAAGTATATAAAAAAATATTTTTTAAATGGAAATCTTTTAATCCAAAGATTAATTGCTGATATAAATTAAAAGTAATAAAATGTGATAAAACGATAGTAATTGAAGTAGCTTCTGTTAGACATTTTGTAAAGTGAATTAAAATGAATACTTTTAAAATATTCCCATTTCTAATTCTATGTATTTTTAATGTGGTAATATAACACTTTTTATCAATCAGAGGGAAAAATTAAGATAAATTTATTACAGGTCTTCTCTTCACCTCAGCTTCCAAATAACAAGTCTGGTAAGTTTCTAAAAATCGTATTTCTGCTCTAAAATTTATCCCTTCAGTTAGAATAGTAGGTGGAGACACCGCATACGCTGGACAATTTCCGTTTTCTGCCGCCATTTACGTGCAAACTACCTCTAGTTCTATCTTTTGTGGGGGAGCTCTCATTGACCACCAATGGATTCTAACAGCAGCCTATTGTGTAGACGGGTAAAAAAATAACAAAAATTTTTGAACCACTTGATATTTGATCTAATTGCTAGAGCTACTCTTTTCACAATTCGACTGGGATCAAACAGTTTATCCAACAGTGATCCCAATCGTCAAACTTTTGCTAGTTCTCACTATGTGGTTCATCCAAATTACAATCCTACCACACTTGAAAATAATATTGCCCTAATTCAGCTTCGACAACCTCTACAATACTCAGGTGTGTATCATAAAACTTGAAAATTATTAAAAAAAAAATTTTAGATTACATAAAACCCATAACACTGACAAATCGCGATATCCCATTGTATGACCATTTGACTGCAATAGGTTGGGGCCAAACCAGTGATTGTAATTAACTTCACACAATTAATTCACCAATTAATGTGTTTTTTTAGCCGAAAGTGGTCTTTCTGATGACTTGCAATATGTTAGTTTGATTACCATCACCAACGAAGAGTGCAAAAACGTTTTCGGATACCAAATCAGCAGTGATATGGTTTGTGCTACCGGTAATTACATTGAAGGAACTTGTCTTGTGAGTAATGTGATTTTGATGGGTCACTGTGTAACAAGTTTTTTTAAAGGGTGACATTGGAAGTCCTTTGATTGAGCATATTTACAGTCCTCAATCGGTGCGGCATGCTGGGGTGTCGAGTTTTATTAGTGGAAATGGATGCGATCAACCGCATCCTTCAGGATACACAAGGACGTATTTGTACCTAGACTGGATCGCAAATGTAACCAAAGGGACTTTTTGAGCTAAATTGTAATATTTTGTGTTAATAAAACTGTAAAATTGTTTGTCTTGATGTATTATTTGGGGCCCACAAAAAATTTAACAGAATTATTTCGTGGTCAACTTATAAAAGTCGTATTTTTTGAGTATCTGAAAATATAATTAACATAGTCACCTATTTGAGAAGTTTTTACCAATTATCACACTTTTTTAAATATTTTTATAGGTGTAATTTTTTCTTTTTTTGGTTTTTCTGGTTCAGCAATAAAACTATGTGTTTGGAATGTGTAAAAAAAGTTTCTTATTTCAAGCCTATATTCAAAGATTTTTTTACTTTACTTTACATTACATTTAGAACCTTATTCAAAATTAAGGAACAGCGATTTTTAGAAGGAACTGTTTTGATAATTAAAAAAAAAATAGTCAGTCGTAGAAGTCTGATGTTTCTTAATAAATGATGTAAGTTATTTATTTCTATACTTTTAGAAATTATATTGTATTCATAGTAGGTTGGACTTTGTTTCAAACTTATAAAAAAGCTATTTTCTCAATTGCGGTTTTCTATGTCAAATAAGTGATAAATAAATACTTACATGGTTATCAAAAAGTGAGGAAACAAACGTTGTTTGCATAAATTAATTAATTTAAGAAAAAAATAATTAGTACATTATCAAGTACGATAAAAACGTGATGATTTTTTAGTAATAAAATTTTTTGAAAATTTTTTTAGTTTTCGAGTGTTGCAAACTTTTTAATGTTTTCAAATGGCTATTATAAAATCTTTTTTTTCTACAAGGATTACTTATGTATGTACATACCTACCTACATTTTATATTCAATTTTTACGAAAAAAAAATTAAATGAGTTGTCATTAAAAAAAAATTGCATAACTCAAAAATAAAACAAAAATTCATTCTCAAAACACGACGGCATTTTTTATAACATTCTAATTTGTATTAATAACTATATTCTGAAGGCAAGAAATTACAAAAACGCTTGGTTCTATACTTTTTTGTACGTATATCCTGGTACAGAAAATATTATTAGACCCTTGTCTCAAATTGAGAGCAAAGGCTTTTTTTAAAAAAATAAAATATAAAAAAATAAAGAAAAAATGATATAGCTTGTGTTTTAAGTTTATCCACAAAACAGTATATTTTTAATAGATAACTAATACACATACATTTTCTGCCCTAAAGACTTTGTAAGTTTACAAATAAAAAAGTATGAAAATACAGACAGAAGAATAGAATAGAATAGTTTCTTCAACTTCTGTTTTAGTTTTTTCTACCACTTCTACCAGCATTTTTAACTACTGTATCCTCAAAATCTTTCGCAGCTTCGACTAACTGTTTCTTCTTTTCAACAATTTTTTCTTTGACATCTTTAGCTTCTTCGGCTTTATTTTTTGCACTTTCTAAGATATTAGTAGTTTCTTTTGCCACAGTTTGCTTACTGTCTTTAACTACGTGTTCATCAGTTTCCTTTTCGATGTTAATTCAGCCACTTCTTTTATTTCTTCCTGTAAGATTTTTGCAATTTTTGCAATTTACCTTCATCATTCGGCTTTATTGGCTTTATTTTTAGGTCTTCTCTTTTAGTAATAATATCTTTAATGATTCCTTTTGCTGATTCTTTCACCAAATGTTTAAGATTTTTGCAATTTTTGCAATTTACCTTCATCATTCGGCTTTATTGGCTTTATTTTTAGGTCTTCTCTTTTAGTAATAATATCTTTAATGATTCCTTTTGCTGATTCTTTCACCAAATGTTTGGTTTCTTCAGTAGCATTTTGTTTTTGAATGTTAAGGATTTCATTCTTCCTTTTTGTTATTTCTTTTTTTTTCAGGTACTTCTTGTGGTATAGAATAGAATAGGAATAGAATAGGAATAGAATAGGAATAGAATAGGAATAGAATAGGAATAGAATAGGAATAGAATAGGAATAGAATAGGAATAGA